ATGGAGCCATTATGAAACAGAGATCTTACAAGCACAAGGTGAACGTGCATTGAGAGAACTGCTGTTGATCTTCCTGGGTTTTGGAGATAAATGACATTATTTCCAAAGGATCATTTTGTGTTAATAGCTTTTAATCAAGTCACTGTCAAAGCATCTTCCAGAACTGTAGGTTTGTATAGGAAAGTTGTTATGAAATATAATATGAAAAATGTTTTCTGTGGTGTGTTGTTTTTTCTTCAGTAAAAGTCAGCTATCCTGGAGTTATAAATTAAAGCCTGTGATATGAGTCATTGGGCGTTTGATTTGTTAGTTCTCCAAGAAGGATTGATAGGAGACTCAATAAATATGTATTAATTCTACATTTTAGGGCATCCACAGGAAATACCTTTCTTACTACATAAGTCAGCTTTGTGAACAATGGGAGAAATTGTATTTTTCTGAAGCATCAGAGAGAGTGACCTCAGCTCTGCAGATAGCGTTTTTGAGTGGGATAAGATGTATTAGTGTCACTTTGGGTTCCATAAACTTGCGACTTGACCATCTTAGTATAGTCAAATTTGAGAGTAAAAAGTTACAATAACAAAAAGTTATTTGAATATAGAGTTCATCAGAAAAAACCTTTTAATTTTATAGCTTTTCACAGTAAATGCTAAATGATACAAATTTTTATACTCCTCAAATTAATTATAGGCTTACTACTTTTCCTGTTTCTTCATTTAATTTCTGGTTTGAGTATCCTATTTCCAAAAGACGGGGTAGAGCTTTCCTCAGAACAGATGTATGTATCATGAGCATATTTCCAGATGCAGAAAATTGTTAACTGACCATACTCTGATGATTCATGGCTCTTCCTATGGAAAATATTTTTTTATTGCCGTAGTTTTGGCACTAGTGTAGCATTGGCCTCTTTAGCCACCAGCGTGCTTGTAGCAAATGTGGATAGAGCCTTCCCAAATCTTCGTTTGTGAAGCTTAGCCATGATTGAGTTAGCAGAAACTATCAACTTAAATGGAGACCTTTCTCCTGTGGTAGGAGATGGCCTTGTTTCTATTTGTATCAAGCTTGTTCTTTTGTAGGTACTTGTGTTTGATGCTGGTCAGCAGTGGTGAACATCTCTTCCTTTTCAGCATGGTGTGCCAAAGTATTGTTATGCACCTGGCGTTAATTGGAGAGGATGATTTTCAGTGAAAATGTGTCCCACAATGTTATCTTATGATAAAGAGGTAGTTAAAACAAACAGTATTAATGTACTGTATCTGAACTTACTGTTCATTATGTGTTTGCATTTCTTTTCATGGAATTTATATTCTTATATGAAAATCTTAATGTCACTGCCACAGGGGTTTCTTCCACATTACCCATGAAGATTATGTGAGATCCTTACTTTATGATCTATTTCTTTTGAGTGTTATTACTGTTTGGAATGAAAAAATTAAAATAATGTTTCATGTCATTTGACTAGTTCTTGAGCATATGGAATGCATTGTAGTGAGGTTTAATATGAAAATTAAGGAAATAAGTTGAAACATACTACCGATTATATCTTTAAAAGTATTTCAACCTTTAGAATATTTTATACATAATCAGAAAGCCTGAAGTCTTTACTAATTCTATTTTATAAAGCCTCTCTGCTCTTACACATGATTGACATACTTCAGTAATGAGAATAAAAACCTAACAAACAAAGCTAGGACTTGAGTCAAAGGCTGATCATTTTATCTCTGTCCTGACTGCCATGACTTCGTCATGAAAAAAATGACACAATGCTTCTAGAACTTAATACAAAGAGAATAGAGAAGGTCTGTGCATGAAGTGAGAAAAACAAGGGCAGCAGCATCTGCAAGTAAAATCAAAATTCCTGTTGGATGCTGAGGGTTTGCTGGGCAGGATAGCCCCTTTTCCACAGTTTTGTAGGACTCATGCCAGATTTCTGTTAGCCAGTTCTTCTGACTGTAAGGGTTCATTCAGCTTGTGCCTCTCTGTTCCTCTCAGCCCTGTTCAGAGACTGAATTGAGATGTTGACACAATGTGTGTGCATGTGTGTGTGACCTAGGGCTGCGTTGAGCTCTTGCACTTTACCCACAACATGTACAATTTGTGCTGGATCAAACACAGTCTGGCCATAATTGTCGAATGTTTCAGATTCAGAAGATCTTAGGAAACATAAAACCAAAGTAAACAGATGTAGAAAAGTGAGAATTGGCTTTTACAGCTAGATGGTGACAGAATATTTTGTAGTAGCTGAAGTCTTGTTTTCCTTCTAAATGTTGAGAGGAAAGAACAATGTATACTGTTCTTAGCCCTGGATTGATTGATTTCCATTGAATAGTAAAAGAGCTAGTGGTCCCTCTTCTGGAACTATGTTAGCTCAGCCTGTGGCATAGTATGTGCCCTTCAGTTTTGTTTTTTACAACTACTAAGCTAATTTTCTCTTGACCTGTATGATAAGGTTACTTAAAGGTGAAACACAGATTTTGTAGGGAAAATTTCAAGGTCCAAAATTAACACAACTGACGTATAAACTTTAGAATGATATGAACATAACCTATTTTCTGCAAAATGAACTTGATATTTCAAAACATATCTTTCAAAATTTCGAAATTTTAACCTTTCCCAGTAAAGAGGGAGCTTTTGTGCTTCCCTTGTTACAGGAGTCCAAACAAATGGAAAAAAGGATGCAAGGAAGCAGGCATGTAAAGGAACTCACCAGGGTGATTTGTCTATGCATTGTGTAATAGGTGTTCTGCACGGTGTGAGGAATTTTTGAAAATAGGATTGTTTTCAAATGAAAATGTTCTGTATTTGTAATTCTCTGGTTCAGTGTTAGACAATTCTTTTCATTTAATGAGTATCTTAAGCATAGAAAGTTTTACAGATCATCTTAATCAGGATTCCTTTACTTTTTGGAGAGTAAAATAAATTAGCCTTGCATAATGCTTTATTGAAAGACTGGAATATCTATGTGAGTACTATTCTACTAGTGAATTAATTACAACCTTATTATCCACTTTTGGTTTTGTTCATAAAATGGTTATAAGGGAAGAGCCTTTCAATGTTAAACAAGCCTTAAAAATTTCTTTCTCCTATTCACTATTTCCCCCCCACCCCATGCATAGTCAGTTTCTTCTGGATAGGGTCATGCAGTTCTCTCCTGTGTTGTTTTTATTTTCCTTGGGCACACCCTTCTGTGTTGCTCTTGGGTCAGAATCTTCTTTTACCTCTATTGATCATATGAACATGAATGTCACACTACAATTTCAAAGATCTTTCTGGTTTATGATAATGCTGTGCTATGAGAAAAAGGCAGAAGTGTTGATCAATAGATGCACTAATTAAAAGAGCAATGAAGTCCATTTCAGTTAAAAAGTTTTAAACCAGACACATTTTGATATATGTCTTCTCCTCTCCAAGTCATAACTAATAGTGCTACTTTGTTGAGCACAGTATGGATGAAGATGTCCATGTAAGAAACTCAGCAAAATCTTTGCCATGATGTTTTTCTAAGAACAGATGTAGTACTAGACCTTGTCTGCTTCACAGGGAACTTGACACTTCTGATCTTCTGGCATTTTCTTGCCTCCCCCCACCATATTTTTTATTTTTATTTATTTTATTTATCTTTATTTATCTTTATTACAGACTCAAATGAAAATTCAAGGAGTTTTTGAATCAAAATGTTCACAATTGACACATTAACCAAAGCCCCAAAGCAAAGACACTCTTTGGCATTCTCAATAATATTAAGGCCCCATACACCAACATTTCAGGTAAAAAATGCTTTTTGGAACAGTCAGGAAAGCTTGGTGAGAACAATTAATCCTACATATTTAATTTTCTTTGGAGACTTTAAATGTAAACAGAAGGCAACATCATTCCATAGATCTGAATCACCTCTGTTGCAGACCACACGTGGTCATTCTCCCAATACACACACGTATGCACTAGCTTGTGCATACACTCAGATTGAAGGTGGACTTCAGGAAGGCACCTTGTGTGTTCCACAAGCCAGTCCTTTCTTCCCTGCTGCACGATGAGGTATTCACCGAGGTCTGTGGAGCAACTCTGCAAGGCAAGTTCTCCTACTCTTACTCTCCAGTAGTAAGAATTGTGAAATGGCAGTAGAGCTTGCTCTTGCATGTTCTGAGAAGTCTCTCTGCTGACTTGAAAGGAGTCAATGCAGTCTGGCTTGCTATCTTAGGTATCTCAAGTTGAACAGCAACCAAAGCTCCTGCTTTGCAGGAATGTTTCTGTTAAAAGATGAGTTCTTGGCATATTTTGAGACTTTCTAAGAAAAAGATGGATGCTCTCTTCTATAGCTAAGTGATGAAGGTAACTAGTAACTCTATAAAGTTAAACCCTAACCAATTCAGTTCATTCTCCATCTCAACATGGAACTCAAATACTTTCTGTTTCTTTACAAAAAGTTTCTTTCTTCAGCTTTACATAATGAAAAAAAAGTTAATATCTAAAGGCTTAAAAAACCAGGCACCTAAAAAGAATGAACTTAGGAATATTTTTTTGTTTAAGAAATTAGAAGAAAGTAGAATGAAGGGGTTCCATCCAAACCAAAATTATAGGTTTTGAACTGTTTGTAAGAAATAACTATCTCACTGCCTGGAGCCCTGGCAGTCTCAAACCCATGTTTGTGAGGGTGGGAGTGAAACAATGCTGCCTTCTCTTGCAAGGCCTGGCTATTAAAAAAAAGTTTGGAACTACTGATGGAGACAACCTGGAAACATGGTAGCTGGTGAACCAGTTATTTCTGCTGGTGACCAAGACTCAGAGGAAAATAAGAGGATTTTGATGATGAAATGAAAAACCTTCCACAGTTTTCCTGATCTTAATTGTACAGTTGTTGACATGCTCTAGGTTTTAATAAATGAAGATGGTGTTTTTCCTGCTCTTAATAAAGTTGTAGACATTTCCTCATTAAAAAACCCAAATCAAACAGAACAGTTTTATCTTCATATAGTGAAATAATTCCATTTCACTTTCTGTAGGGCTAGCCTTTGCTGCTCTGTCTTCAGTCCATCCAGTTTTTGGTCTATATGGCTCTTTCTTCCCTGTCACAGTTTATGCCATATTTGGAATGGGACGTCATGTTGCAACAGGTAAGTGTCTATTTCCTAAAAACCTTTTCAAAAATAAAAAACTGGAAACTGAACTTTTGTTTTAAGATCAATGGAAGGAAAATCATCTATGACTAAACATCAAATTATGTTTTTTGCTTCTTTTTAGACCTATTTTTTGTCAGTTTAAGTACTTTAAAGAGCCTCATTAAGAACATATTGGAGTTACTTCTGCCATTATAATTCAAAATTGGATTGACACTTCTTTTGTAAGTGTAACTTATTAAGAGCTTCTGTGTTTTAACTCTACTTTAGAAATCTGCTTCAGGCTAAGATTTTAACAAAGGGCTCTGCCAACAAGACATATGCAAATGGGACTGAAAAAGGCTAGGTTGCCTCTTAAACCACAGAAAACACATTACTTCTCAACTGTCTAAACGACAAATCCTACATTTCTCAGGAAAAAAAAAGGCTTTTTGTGCCTATTACTTGCTATTGTATTAAAGCTGGAGACTCTCCCAGTGAGGGCTGTTGTCCACACTTGCAGACTAGTTAGGTAGGTAGTGAAAGGTGCTCCCTGGCTACTATGCTGGTAGTTATGAGTTACTTGTTTACCCTCAGCAGTCACAGCAACTGCAAGAATTGAATGGCTTTGATCTCCTAAAAGGCTGGTTAATGCTCTGTTTCTGATCCCAAAGAAACTAAATTATAGGTGGAAGCTGGAAATAGTACTCATTACATCGAACAACAAATTGTTTGCTATGCAGAAGTTGGCACTTGGTGGCCTTTGAAGTTTGCAACTAGGATGAGACGGGCCCAGTAGTAACACACATTGTGACTGGGTAAAGGGAAGCAGCCTCTGTGGCTGTCAGAAGGTTTAAGGAGGGAGGAGGGATGTTTTCCTTAAGGAGGAGAAAAAGTCCTGAAAGGAGAAAAGATGGTTGTGGATAATCACACACAAAATGAACTCTGCAGAATCTCATTGCTCTCATGTATGCAATGTTTTAGTAAGCAGTTAGCAACATATTTTTAAGCACCTTTTTTGATCAAAAACATTCAGTTAAATTACAAAAAAGAAAAATCTAAACAGCTGTAAATTGTCTTAGAGCAAAAGTAAAGCTGAAAGTTTGTTTTCCCTAGATACACAAAAAGTATTTGAACCTTGGCTGTCTGAAAAAGATCTGTGGATGCTGTTAGTGTCCTAATGCTGTAATGAGTGAGGGACTGTACTCAGCCCACGTCAAAAAGAGAAGCATTTGAAAAAAAGTGAAAATTTAGAATTTGGAAAATTAATTTTACTCCTGAGTATAGACAGATTAGTATACTTATTAAAACATGAACCTATATTAAAAAGCTATATTAACAAGTGTTGTCAGAAGGTTGTTGGTGTAAGATTATTAGGAAGACAAGAATCCATCATATGTGGGAAAGTAGATGAGTAAGTATCTGGCTGGCATAACTTCTAGTAATGAAAACAGATGATAAAATAGGTAAGGACAAGCTGTTAAGTCTGATGTTTTATTCTTGGGAGGGAATGATGTTCAGAGAATGACTTGCTTAGTCCCACAGCTTCATGTCTGCAGATTTCTGCCTGGTCACTGGTGTGGAAACCTATTCCTTTCACAGATGTCTATTATAGAATTTAATTTTAATCAAAAAAGGGCAGCAAAACAGTTCTCTTGCAGTAATGAAGATTTTTTTTAGATTAATAAATTTGTGTGACATATGTTGTCAATCATTTCAGCAGAAAAGTCTCATGCACTCCTTCCACCACTCAGTTGAGCTGTTGAGCTGCGTAGGCTGGAGCTATACTGCCTGCCTCAGTTTCCCAAATGTTCCATAACTCCCTGTGGATATTGGAGACAATCTCTTCACCTATCAGCATTTTCTGTAAGATCTGTGGTGCTCTCCATATGTACACAGGCTATAAAAGTGTCCTTTGTTAGTGAGGTCAGTCATGTTAATATGAAATGGAAAATTCATCAGTGGCCCAGTTCTGTCAGCTTTTACTCACTTTAAATGTCTCTTCTTTGAGATGGCTGATCTGCTTTAAAAGATTATACACCTGAGTGACAAACACCTAACACCTTTTCCTTGACTGTTTGTGATATGATTGATTTTGAAACATCCTCTGAGACAACTTCATCTGTCATAATAACACCTGTAGGTCTTTGATTTAAGACAGACTTTTATGTAAACTGTTTTCAAATTCAATTTTATGTAAACTGAGTTTTTTTAAGTAAAAATGAGAGAACAGGCTTAAAAGAAAAAAAAAGCAATCTGAAAAACAAAATATTTACAGCTATCCTGTTGCTTGAAAAAAATGTATTTTTGGCCTGGATAAAAAAAGAAAATGTAATCAAAATAAACCCCGTCATGGTTTGATGGAAAAAATTAAGGGGACTTTCATGAGAAACCGTTCGCCATTTGAAAAATGGAAAGCTTGGCCATATGAGGTGGGCAGGAAAACAATGAAATGTGACAGGTCAAACATATGCAGGAACATTAGGGGCTAAAAAAAAGAATTTAAAGGATTCCATGGAGAGTATGATCAAACTGGTAGTTAAAGTTTCTTTAAATACACCAAAATCAAGACAGTGAGAAGTAAACTGGTGGCATATCTTTCTGGCAGAGGTGTAACAAGGCCACATGATTGCCAAGTTGTCAGTATAATTTCATTGTCATAAGGGCTCTGTGGGGAATGCTGGGAATGTCAGACCTGTTGGTAATAAAAATAAAAATACTGAATCATAGAATCTTAGAATCATAGGATGGCCTGGGTTGGAAGGGACCTTAAAGATCATCTAGTTCCAACACCCCTCTCATGGGCAGGGACACCTTTCACTAGACCGGGTTGCTCACTGCCCCATCCAACCTGGCCTTGAACACTATCAGGGATGGGGTGAAAAAAGATATGTATAATCAGAGTCTGTTGGAGAGGAGTTAATATGACTTCTGTAAAGGAAAATCCTACCTCTCTAACCTCCAAGGGTATGTATGAATGTCAATAAGCACATGAAGAAAGGAAACACTTTGAATATAAGATATCAAAATGGTCAAACAGCTACTGATAAGGTTCCACACCAAAGGTCAATAAAGAAACTAAGTTGTCCTTGTGATAGAAGAAAAGTCCTTTTATTAATTATTAGTAGGTTAAAGGTTAAGAAGCAAAAGGCAGGACTTCATGGCCATTTTTCAGGGTGGCGGTGTTCCTGGTAGATTCCCAAGGAATTCATGCTGTGAATCCTGGGCCTTTATGAAGGCCACAGTGAAGGTAGCACTTTGTTCACTGGGTCCTGTAAGAGTAGAATAAAGGTGAGTTCAATGATATATAATTTTAAAAGACTTTTTGTGCTGGTTTAAAAGTTAACCAGCAGGGGAAATGAACTCAACTCAAAAGAGAGATTATAAGTCAGAATAACAATTTACTAAAATAATATAATAAGTATGATTATACAGACAAACAATTGGTTTTAACCCACAAAACCCAAACGTATAACCCAGCACCCTGGGGCATGAACAAAGTGGTGTTCCTTGGGCCCCCCTGAGTCCAAAGTAAAGGGAGAGGGGAAAAACCTGCTGGTGGGAGAGCTGTTGCAGTCTGGTCAGAAAGTGGTGATTGCAGTCCAGCCGAGGGTGGTGGTCTCAGTCTGGTGATCTGCAGTCTGGTTGAGAGCAGTGATCTGCAGTCTGGTTGAGAGCGGTGATCTGCAGTCTTCCTCTGGATCCCACAAGTGATTAAAAATGTCCCAAGACTCCAAGATTATATATCCTCCAGTTCAGGCAGGGATGCTCAGTACCTTCCTCAGGGTGGGGGGTTCCTTAATGAGTGTGAGGACAAAAGCAACATCCTATCTCGCAGGCCTCTTAACGCCTAGTTTATAGCCTGAGGAGTCAGGCTCTATGTGCAGATGGTGTAAATGGTTCATTAATAACAGTTTCTGGGAAATGGGATGGAAGGCTATAGAATACACAGTTTTGGGTTGCATCCATCCAGTGATGAACTGGTCCCAGTTGTTCTAACTAGGACACTTTTAAAGTATAGATTGTATAAAACAGTACAGCAGACAGTGAACTTCTGGAACCCACTCTCAGAGGACATTATGGAGGGAGAAATTACAAGCAGGTTCAAACAAACCTTTGACAAATTCATGAACTAGTCCACAAAGTCAAAAAGGGCCAGGTAAGGATGTACTTTAACACAACAGCTATGGATGCTGGCAATAAGGGCAATGGCCTGCAGAAAATGGCCAGGCTTGTGTGCTTTTCCTGGCTAACACCTCTAACTGTCACAGCTGGAGGCAGAGTACTGGGCAAGATGGACAATTGGTCTGACACGGTAAGACATTTCTTATGCTCCTATAGCTCTTCATGAATGTGTTTGTGCTTATTAAGCTATTAGAAGGTGTCCAAAGGAGGGCAACGAAGTTGGTGAAGCCGTTTGAGGGGAAGCCGTTTGAGGGGTGGCTGAGGGCACTTGGTGTGTTCAGCCTGGAAAAGAGGAGATTGAGGGGAAACCTCATTGCAATTACAACTTCCACTTGAGGGGAAGAGCAGGGGCAGACACTGATCTCTTCTCTGTGGTGACCAGTGACAGGACCTGAGGGAATGGTCTGAAGTTGTGTCAAGGAACGTTTATGTTGGATATTAGAAAAAGGTTCTTCACCCAGACAGTGGTTAGGTACTGGAACAGGCTCCTCTGGGGAAGTGGTCACAGCACCAAGCCTGACAGAGTTAAAAAAGCATTTGGACAATGCCCTTGGGCACATGGCGTGAATCTTGGGGATGGTCCTGTGAAGGGCTAAGGGTTGGAATTTGATGATCCTTGTGGGTCCCTTTCAATTCAGCATATTCTGTGATTCTGTAATTCTGTGATTTATCTGAGTGTCAGTAAACTTGCTTTATCTCTCTCAGCTACCAAATGTTTCTCTCATAAACTGCATCCATTTATTAGAATGCTAGGTACTACATGTACAGGCTAGGTACTATATGTATATCATAAATTAATTGCCCTAGAAATTTGGTTCATGAACACTTGGGATTCTCAGATAAATAGCTGTTTGGTCACGTCCAGGGTGAGTTAAAAGCATTTCTGATAACTTGAAATAGTTGTAAATTGTTGTATTTGAATCTCTTTTGTAAACATATCTAAATGAATGTGCTCAAAAAAATTTACATTTAATTCACCTGTAAAAATGGTATTTTACAGGAAGAAATATGTGTTACATAGAAAAATTACCTTAAAAATTGTTCTTATCATGACAGAAATGTACAAAATGGTACCTTTACTCATAATGGCCAAGTTTTGAAGAAGAGACCACGAGTGATGAGTACATACAGATATAAAATTATTTTTCACCGATTTGTGGCTTTTTTTATAGGAACTTTTGCTTTAACTTCCTTAATATCTGCCAATGCAGTTGAGCGTCTTGTTCCTTCAGTCACCACTAATTTCACTGCAAGCAATAATTCGGGAATTTTGGGCTTATCGGAGTTTGAAATGCAGAGGATTGGAGTTGCAGCAGCAGTTTCGTTTCTAGGAGGAATCATTCAGGTTGGTGGAGGTCACGTTTACTCATGCACTGCCTTTGTGACAGCTGTGACATTTGTAATACTTTTATTTTTCTCACTTCTCTGAGAACAACTGATGAAAACATCTGGTCTGATGGTCATGAATGATGAAACCAATGTGTTTTAAGAATTTGCTGCTCCTTTGTTGAGGTGTAATAATTATCTGTATACATGCTGCTGGTGTGTTATAATATGAAGTAAAACTACATTCAGTCAGCTCTAATATAATACTCAGTTGCTATTGGTGCCCCTTTTCCTTCTCCTTCAGAAAGAAGACATGAATCAGCTCCTGGTAAGCACTGACATATTCCTTTGGATTTCTGTTGCTCTTGGCTTGAAGAGAAATACTATACAATATCCAGTAATTAAAAACAGTAGGGAAAACATGCTTAAATTCTCTCCAGAATTTACACACCCGTCAATAAAATGAAATAGTAAAACAGATGTCTTTGTATGATTCTCCAAAGCTTATTCAAATGATCAGAGGTCTTTTAAATTTCTTCTTTTTTCTTATTCTGACTGCAAGTGCTGAGTTCCTTTATCCATTGCCAGTTGCTTAGGTCTTCAAGAGGGCTTCCCTCTTTCCTTGTAAATATTAAAATGGAAGTGTCATGGTTTGAAAAGGCCCAAAATCCGATTCTGATTCCTAGCCCCCCTCCCACATCTCAACCCCATGTGAGATGGGTTTTCCAGACAAAAACACGAGACTCAATATGGGGGAAGGAATATATTACAAAGACTATACACATAAATAAATACTATAATACACTGCATACAATCTTAACTCTATATCTATCTCTACCATGACAGTAATATTTACAATGGGCCAAATCTCTTCTCCCTCCAAATAAAAGTCCAGGAGAGAAGAAGAAGAAAAGACCCCTTCCAGTCTCTGAGCAACAGGTGTCTCTCTAGGCAGCAGGCTTTCTTCTTCTCTTTCAGGCAGCAGTAGTAGTTGCTGGCTCTCTGCCAGCACACACGAGGGAGGTCTTCCAAGCCTCTCTCGGCCCCCGTCTTCAAACAGGGGGTCTTTCCATGGGCTGCGTAACCCCAGACACGGCCGCTACACCATGGTCATATCACGAAGCACCGGGGTCTTCGTGACGGTCTGGTATCCTCAGGGGAGATCAAGCCCCTTCACAGAGCTTCTGTGCTCTGCTTCAAAGATGGCTGCCAGCTTCTCTGAAGCTGCAGCAAGGAGGGGGGGGAAAGCCCAAGGTCACCCCCTCCACACACATTCCTTTGGCCATCCTGGCTGAGCTCTCAGGAGGCCGGAGCTTCTTAGCTCCTCTCTGTAGTGCATACTGCACTTTAGGACTCCACTCAGTCCACCACCCCCTCCTCTTTCTCAGAGGGGTCTCTAGCGAGTTTGGGGGTTTTGGTTTGTCCAGTTCTTACCCTCCGAAACTCTCTTCCTGCTGCTGGCTCGGGTCTCTTGTCCTGCTTTCTGCTGCTGGCTTTTTTCGTTTCCTCACACAACTCTGTGTCTGCTTCAGTTGCATACCGGCATCTGCTGCTTCTCTTGGTTCTTATCAGTTGGCTCTTTGCCACTGCTCTTCGGACACTGCTGTTCTGCTGCTGCTCCGTCGCTGCTCCCAGCGTCTCTCACTTCTGCTTACAGGGGAGAAAACTCCCCCAGCTCCTAGCCACAGGCACTCAGTCCAGCTAACACTGTTCCAAGTCCCTGCAGCCCCCCAACTGGGGGCTGGGGGGGCAGAGGCCCCCAAGGGGCCGGAGCCCCTTCTCCTCGTGGCCTCTACAACATGGCCACCTCTTCTTCTCACAACAAGTACTACTGCTTCTCTTCCGGTCTCCAGAGATATGTTTATATTTTGCAGGAGCACCGATTGGGTCAAGCCCCGAGGGTCACCACCCCCTGGGGGTTACCACTTTTAGCTTCAGGGGGAAAACCTGGCTCAAACCACTACAGGAAGAAATGTTCCAGCATGCAACATTGCAACATCTCCTGGGTACCTGGCCTCCTGAAAGAAACCCAAACTCCTGCACTTGTTGCTTTGGATCCCTCTACCGTGCAGGAGATGAGCAAAGAAACCCAGGGCATCTCCAGTGGCCTGCATGCTTGGCAGGAAAGGGCCATATGCTTGTGCTGGTCAGTAGGAAATATCAAGAAGCATGACAATTTCTGTTGTATTTTTATTATTCTTTTATTGGATACAGGATTATGACTAGTGATAGCAGCATGAGGGAAAGCCTATGGACAATATACAAAGTAGAACTGGTGCTGATTGTGCCTGGCTGTGCATGCACGTGCTGTCTCATTGCACCAGTATGTGCAGTACAGCACCGCATCTTGTACAGTGCGCTTGCAAGAGCAGAGCATGCACAGAGCTCTTCGCGTGGGAATCCTGTGCTCACAGCTTGGAAATCTCCTATATTATCCCCAGAGAGGCCAAAATGCTTCAAGCAGGAAGTTGGTGCCTGCATTCATTTGATCTAACTTCAAAATCCAATGCAGAAATTTTTTGCTTAGTGGATGGAAAATCCCGTTAGGTGTGTAAATCCTCTAGACCTCTTACTCTTTCATATTGAAAAGTTCTGCTTTTTCATATACCTTCAATTGCATCAGCTGACTTAGCCTATTTCCTGTTTAAGCCTGATTGAAATGAGAACTAGTAAATCCTCTGCCTGCATTCAAAGCAGGTCTGATAGGGAACTGTGCCACATGCATGGGCTCCTCTCCCAGGTCAGTAATGTCACTTGCATTGGAGTCATGCTGGCACAGCTGGTGCTTGTTGTGCTGCCACTAGTCCTTTATGTGAGTTTAATGGTTAAACTCACATAAATGGTTTAATTAAAATACTTATTTCCTAGAGAAGCACCTTGAAGCTCTTAATAATGCAATATGCAAGTGAAAGTCTGGATCAAGGCTGAGATTAAATTGTGCCATCTTCCCAGATGCTGTTAAGTGTGGGAATCTATGTTTCTCATCATGATTCCAGTCTGACTAACAGTTCCTGCAATTCCCAGAGAAGATGACAGGGTACATCTTGCTGTTAATGGAGAGCTGTCAGTGACCTGCATCTATTTATCAGATTTGACTAGAAATTAATTAATAGCCTGGAGTAAATGTATATTCCGGGACAAGAGGAATAGTGTGATGCATTTGGGGGTGAGAGTTTTCCATTGAAGACATCCTAAAATACAAAAAGAAACTGAATTGTCATTGTAGCTGGTATTTGGGATGGTACTTCTCTGGAAAGGGAGCAGACCTGGGCTATGGTATCTACTATAAGACTCGTTATTCTGAAAAAAACAGTCAAAATGCAGCGCTCTAATCAGCACAAAAATCTAATTTCGCAAAAACAACTGCTGCTGTGATTATTCCATACCTTGGTCAATCTGCACATGTAGAACAAAAAGTCCCTGTCCAAAACAGCCGTTTCCTTCTAGGAAAGAGTAGGTAAAGAGCTGAATGTCCTTGGCCTGAAAAGCAATTTGATACTATTTTTCCAGTAGCCTGGCTAAGTACTCTAATCAGCAATTAATGTCAAAGAAAAAAAAGGAAAAACATACAAAAGAGTATGTTTGGAGGGAAAGCAAAGGGTAGAGATGTGTTTTTGAGATGATCTGCTGTTGGCTGCTGTGTGTTTTGTGCAGACTGTAACTGTGCATTTGTGTGTGAGGCAAGCTGTGAGCAAGCTTTGTGAATCTCAGTGCCATCTAAACATGAATAAATTAGAACTGTTTTCTCATCATCAGACAAAAATAGGTGAAGCTTATGAGATATGAAATTTGGTGCTTAGTTGCTTAAATTTTTTTCAAGTAATAAACTTCAGAGTCCTAAACGGCTTTTTAAATATAATGTTTGAGCGACTGTTTATAAAAGATGAAAGATATTTAGTCATCTTAAGAGGCTTCTGATGAGGATAAAATAGTATTCAAATAGAAAATAAGTAAACGTAAAATAAAAACTGTAATTACAAAAAAATAATATAATGAATTCACTATTTCATTTTTTAAAAGCAGAAAAGAAGGAATAATGAAATTTTTTTCCTATATTTGTGTAGCTCCTACTCTATTAAGATAAACAGGGTGTGGAAAACTAGTCAAGTTAATAGAATTCTTCCCTGATATTAAATACCTCAGATGTATTGATGGGGAGAGGAAATGAGGGAACATAACAGATGCCTATGGGATAATTTTGTAATTAAAATTGGATGATGCCTTTATAACACTAAAAAAAACCTCAAAAAGCTTTTGGATAAGATTTTTTTTCCCCTATTAATATATTATATGTGCAAGAATGCTTGCATAAATATGTGTCTGTAAAAGTACCTCAGCATACTAAACTGAAATTCAACATGAAGATTTGCTGAATAGACGAAAGCTGCTTGCAGATCAAAATGAGAAAAAATAATTTTTATCCTACAAAAAAAGTTTTATTCTCTTAAGACCACAATGTTACAGAGTTCAGCTGTGCTACTCTTCTGTAAATGAGAAATAGCTGTTTATTGCATTCCAGTCTTCCACATTTTCACTGGTAAGTTTTTCAACTACTGTATTTTGAAAACTAACATGTAATTAGTTTCTGATATACAGTATTGAAAATAAAAATGTTTCTAATTATCAGGAGAACAAATTTACATGGTCTATTATCAGTTTACTTAACAAAAAAGGAGCGCATTTGAATATGAAGGGTGTTTCTGTAAGGCTAATATTCTTGTCCAAAACTTTGCTTCCCTGTGGGGAATATTATGTTGCTCTATTCTATGTTACACATAGTTTTTCATGAGATTATAACATGAGTCTATTATACAGTGATAATCAGGAAAACAGTTAATTTTTCTTTGACAGTAGAAATAACTTCTTGCAGGCTCATATTCTGTATCTTGAAAACTACAAGTAGGCTAGGTGGGAGTTCTGGTTCCCACAATTATGGTGCAGCATACAATGTGTTAGTACAGAACGACCATAGAAAGAAGACTTTTTCAGGTCCTGGAGTGTGGAAAGATCACTTTTCACACCATCAGAAGCTACCCGTAAAGAACATAAGAGTTGCAATGCAGAAGACCAAAAGCTCACAATTAAATGTCTATTGAAACAGGTTGAGAAGAGTTTTAAACTGATTGCTCAGTGAAGCTGAACTGTCCATGTCTGACTCCACAAGGTTCATAGATGTCTTGGATTTTGCAATCTCTGACTTTGAGATAACCAATACAATGTACTGAGAGTCTCACACTCTGTAGTGTTTCCCTCCAAGAGATGTTCCCCATTCCTGACCTTGTCTTCTCAGCCCATACAACAAATCACCAGAAAGGGTATCACCACTTTTATTTGCTATAACAGTGAAAAAACCTTCCAATACAATGGAGTTTTAAGAGTTTTAAAATTCATTCTCCAAAACTGAATTTGTGCAGCAGGTAATATGATATCAGCCTTTCAATTAGTCTCATCAGAAAGTTTGATATTAGTAATTTTCGAAGAGCTGTTAAGTGATAAAAATTTTTACTGGCCATGAAGTTAAATTGACTACATGTTGAATGGAATTTTAATAATAATAATTTTAATAATAATAAACTGAGTGCGTTGTCATGGGAAAAAAATATTGAAAGTGGACAGGAACCAAAAGGGTTTGAATTTGCTTTTTGGAATTGCTCATTTTTCTTCTCCTGGTTAAATCCCCATTCTCTTTTACTTGTTGGAGTAAAATTATGGTGCAGTAAAGATAGCTGCAAGAAAAGGTTCCACTTGTATTATCTTTCTTCCATCTTGAAATTTCCTTTTTTTTTCTATAATTTTTTTTTTTAGAAATCACATTGTCCACCACTTTTGCCTAATTATCTGCTTGTATAACTTGTTTCCATGATCTCTTTTCCTTTACTGTGCATTCAAGGCTACTTTCTCTCACTTTCTCTTGTGTTTCTTTTTTTTCTCTAATAGCTCTTGATTTCATTTATATGAATTTAATAAAAAATGCATACCTGGTGAAAGCAAATTGTCTAACACAAACCATACTCATGGTTTGGATGTATTTTACATAACCCACAGTTATTAGCAAACAATAAAAAGTATATTTGAAATGTGACCTTTTAGTTACTATCTGTAAAGCAATCTCCTAAAATGTTGAAGACAAAAAAAAAAGTAAAGAACTAAAAAATAAATCTGAGAGTGATGCTGAAGTTTCTGAGTTCAGCAATTATGACACCATTTTCCTGTAAATCACAATAATAACTTTCTCTGAAATGCTAATAGTAACCAATACTTCTGTGTGATATTATGTAGTTCAAAGAATTGTCTCTAACTCCACAGCTAAATAAACATACATCTAATTATCTGGAAACTAAGCTATTACCCAGTTAGAAATTTCACCTTCATACAATAGAAACTGATCTTAGAAAACAAACAAAAATTCACCAGGGAAGGAAGAACTTAATTCTTATTCAACTTCACTACTGTGAACAATGGTTTAAATATATTAGTAGGCAGACTGTTAGAACAAACAGCTAAACAAAATATCTGAAGTTAGTAATTATCAGTTTTAGGCCTGACTAACTAAATTACTACTCACTGAGGGTATAACAGTAATTATCATTATTGGAGTCCAATCTTGAACAGCAATCAATGTTCCAATTGCACATAATACAGAGCAATTTACATGCTATTAGTGGGAAATAGAAAAAAACCTCAGATTTAATTGCTCAGATGGAAGAGAAAATTGCTCACGAGAGATTTTTGTGGTAAATTAAAATCCACTTTGGTATTTTTCTTTCTTTTTGGGTACTATGTTCATAGGTCACTGCATACAGGTGAGTTTTATGGTGAAAAAATAAATAGTGTTCAGGCATAAAGAATGATAACATTTGGAAGTGATACTTTTAACTTCAGAACACAAAAAAAAGCAAAAGACACAGTGATATATTCCAAAATGATGATATTTAGTGTGGTAAACACAAAATAATCCTCTTAGAAAGTATTGTAACAAACAACTATGTGCCAAGAGCATGTAACTTCAGGTAGAAGAACAGCAAATGCAAGACCATAGAAGTAAGAAACTGCAAAATTCATTGTAAGAGGAGAAAATGTAAATGTAACTTAACATGGATCAGAAAAAAGTTAGGCATTACGTAATCTGCAGTAGCAGCTGTAGGCATGTAACAACTTTATTCAAAGAATTAACAGCTCTGAAATCTCATACCTCAGAGGAAAAAAATGTTTGAAATCTGGGATAAGGGGAGAAAACGGTTGAGTCCAATGGTACTTTGAATATTTGTCCTGTATTCCTACGAAGTATCTGCAATAGTTGTAGGTTCTGCTGTAATTCAGATTCCTGGATTAGAGGTCTCTCCATGAGACTTTCCATACCACTTCATAAATTTGGTAATTACTCTTGGAATTACTAATGTTGGGAATCTTGATATCAACATGATGGCAATCAGTAAGATGGACGAAGATACGACCCTTTGCCTAGTCAGGCTGGATAGCAGTGGAGCAGGAATGAGTCTTAACACCACCCTCACTTTTTAAGTTGCTTTACTTCCTTTAGCTGTGTTGAACTGATGTTTTCATGGAGTTGATTGTGCTCATATATTTGAGCAGGAGAGAATACTAAGAGTTTCTCTGAGTGCGATTTTGTTACTAAACTGATGTTGGAATCTGGTAAATTATTGGTGCGAGTAAAATAGTGCAGGTAAACCCACAGAGCTTCAGTGGATTCCATTTTTAGCTATATTTGGCCTTCAAAGACTTTTGCTTTTTATCTTCAGCTCTTTTATCTTAAAATTTTTTAAAAGAACCCTGGCTCATTGTCCTATCACCAAGATGGTGCATTTTATTATAACTGCTGATATTCCTGCCTTTGTCTTTTAGGTAGCAATGTTTATGCTGCAGTTGGGCAAAGCCACGTTCTTGTTAACAGAGCCAGTAATAAGCGCGATGACAACAGGAGCAGCTACACACGTTGTGACTTCACAAGTGAAGTATCTGCTGGGAATGAAAATGCCATATATATCGGGACCACTGGGATTTTTTCATGTGAGTTCAGTGAAAGAGATGGGTTACTTCATTAGCTAACATTTTATTAAATAACTATGCTATGTGCTATATAAAGAGTAAGAAATTTGTTATGCACATGTGTGAATGAGCACAAGATGAACCTTCATCTTGCTTTGTCTGTTTGTAAGAATGGATTTGGAAAACTTGATGAAGAACTAGCAGAAATGGGTCTTATTTTAAAAGGATACAGTAATCAATTTCAAATAAATATATGTATTAAAACTGACGGTCATTGTGGTAAAAGGAAATTGACCCATGATTTGTGGATCTCCAATGCAAAAATTACCCAAAACATGTTACTTACTGCCTTATGACATGATAAACACAGCAAGTGGATAGCTTTAAGGTAATGTTTATAAAATTCATTCAGCATTTCATACAGTAATGTTCCCATGAATGGTTAAGCTGCTTAAAGAATCACCATCAAAGGTATTGGCAAAAAAGCAGGTTTTAATATGAACTTATGAAAGAGTGACTTTAACAGAGTTCAATGGCAAGTTTCACTCTATTACTTATTCCACGGATGAAGCATACATAGGAAAATTGCATTAGAATCAATTTAGAATGATTTACATGGAGACTGAGGATGAAACAGAGTAAGGATACGGATACAAAAAGATAAGGTGCGCAAAAGGGCTGAACAGCACCTCATTATGGATTAATTTCGCATTTACGAAGTGATTAAATAGAACTTGCTCTAATTCTAACAGTGACCTAATTATAGCTTCACAATAACATTCACACCATGATCATTTCACACTCATAGACACAGGCAAAGATGTATACATCTATGTCTGTGCATGTACAGGTACCTGCGAAAAATTCCCTTCAGGTTCAGTGAAATACTAACAGCAAATACCACAGTGTTTCTCAACAGGTATGGGTTGCACCCCAAAGTGTATGGGCGTGGGTGGGGGGGGGGGGGGTGTGGGTGTATGTGTACCAGCCCAGGCCTTGTCCTAACCAATGGTCTTTCAAGTATTGCAGACTTGAAGGTTGACAAGGGTTGAAGAGGTGCCCATGATCCCAGAGGGAGGTGCTGGCACAGCCCACTGTGGCCCAAGAGAGCTCAGATGGCCTCACTTAAGACATCTGTGTTTAGGGTCACAAGATGATTTGTTTTAGTCATTAATCAATTCCTATCCTGGCACTAACCCAAATCAATAATTAATGAAATTATTCAAAAGTCTGGTAACAATGGTGACATTCCATCAGTAAGTTTCCACCTGGGCCATAACCCAGGTTGGTAACTACGTCAGTTTCCAAAACATTTGGAAATTGTTTCCAAAACTCAAGAAACAATGGTGTTGTTCCACCTGGGCTACAATTCAGGTAGGGTATGTCCCAAGGCTGTCAGGAAATGACTGATTATCATTTGTTCTCCACTTTGGTCAGACAGCTGAAGTTGCTGCCACAGTGTTTTTCCCACCTGTGTCAGGCAAGAGCACCTGGTACAGTAAAGGACACTTCACCACCCAGCTGGTTTAGTCAAGGCTGAGATTGTAGGGCTGGCCCAAGGGTGCGGGGTGATGCACCACCCCAAGCATCATGGTTTCTGCCTTTGGAAAGTATATATTGCTGGCTGAAAACTTAAAGAGCAAAAGACATAATAACATATTCTTGATGGTAACTTATTCCATCAAGCCCTGAGATTAGGTGCTGTGAGCATAATCTCTTGGCATTAGTAATATTACAACAGTAGCTGCCAAAAAGACATTTTTCTCATAATAAAACTTTACTCACTTCTTGAGGTGATACTTACATTGCACTGATAGTGAGGCTTCATTTAGTTAGCCACTAAATTAGGACACCTTATTTAAAAGCACTGACTGTATCTTCCTGCCCTGCTATGTGCTTTATTTCTTGCTATTATTTTGAGAAATTTGTTAATGGGAAATCTCTGATAAGAAAATGTTGGTTTTTAGAATGTTTTTTCATAGTATTTTATAAATTTGATAACTTTTTGTATGGATAATTCATTAATAAGTTTTTTACAGGACCAATTTATTAACGAAAATTAGGGGCATGTAATAAACACAAGCAATTTATCTTGTAGGGGCATAGCTAGAAGTGTCATAGCCATTTTTGTAAGTAGTCAGTTGGCTTGTGAAACTATTAAAAATGATTCATTATATATTAAATTTTTAAAAATTCTTTAAAAATCTTTTCATAAATAATTCTTAATATATAATGTGACTAGCCTCTTTTTCATGGTGTTTCCATCGAGACTATACTTACATATAGGAATATTGTCATCTTGTACACATGACTGGTGTTAAGTACCACAGCCGAAACATAATCAAAGTATACATTATAAGCAATAATAAAGAACAGCAGTGATATGAAGAAATAATTCCGTGTTGGTGTGCTGATGATATCATAAATGAGGTCATTCAAATGCTTTGAAAGAAATCTATTCCCTTATCCCCTGTATTTTTTAATATATTTGAAACAAGTTCTTTGCCCTTCACTTCTCTTTTGAAATCAAACCCCTTTGAACATTTTCCAAAGAAAAATTTTCCTGATTTTTTTTAAGGTTTTGAGTTTCTCTGTAGAATTGACCAAACAAAATCCATTCTGTACAACTTGAGAGAATAATAAAAAGGGTCAGTTTTACCATAGAAGGGTTTTAAAAGGTTTCTAGTGTCTGTTCAGACTTATGGGTTGCCTTAAGAAGGTCCGATATCTCAGTCAGAAGCACCAGACTGAGATTTTAACAGCAATTTTCTTCTGTGGTGGTAGTTTTATATGAAAATTATACTAATTACATATAAGCTAGTTTGCACGTGTAACTAGAGAATGAAAGGCAAATTTGGCATGTTTCTCTGGACATGTTCTTTACTTCAAATTCTCAAAACCCAAAGACTGGTACTTTTGCTTACATTTTTCTTCTTTCTCTACTCCAAAACACCTCCCACTCACAAAACCTATTGCTTTGCCTCAGGCAGTCTTTGGGTTGGCAAACCAAGAATAAGAATGTTTAATAAAGTGTGATAGGAGAGTTGCAAGTAAAGCAAGGCAGTGAAATGGATTCTTTATAGCAAGTGAGATCATGATTAAATGAACTTTGCATGTGGAGAACAAATTTAGTACACTGACCTGGAACCTATGGTTTTTTTGTGTTTATGCATGGTTTACATAATTTCATTTTCTGAGTACATGGTTTGTAACACTGCAGTTAAGATACACAGTGCAGCATCAGTTGATATTTTGCAATTGAAAAGGCAAGGTGAAAGTGAAGAAAAAAAAATGATGAGGGAATACTACATGTGAGATCTAATTTTACAATGGACAAGAAAAGCATTATCAAGTTTTACTTAGCATCTGAAAACAGAAGAAAGTATCTGTATTTGCCCTTTATTTATGTATAGATATATTTCTCTTTCCACATGTTTCTGAGAAAATACAGCATTGCAAAATGAACTGCAAGCAAGAAACTTGATTTGCAAAACAGGGGTTTTTGTGGCTATGTTGCAAGTTTGTTGTCCTTGTGTGGTTTTGTGCAATTATCTGAAAAAAACCCCTTCATGTTCCCACAATCAGCTCTTTTTTTTTCTCCTTTTTTCCCCAGTTTGTTCCCTATAAAATTCACAGTAGTTGCCTGTACATTTTTCCTCCAGTGTGATGTATTTGTCTAACAAACTTTGGAATTAAATATTTTTGAAAATGCAATGAGGTTTTCCACTCTTAAAATGTATTAAGTATTTTAAATAACAAGTTCCTTTAATTTTTCTGTTTGCTTCAGCGTCTATACTCATTTTACAGCTCAGAGCATTTCATTCATACGTCAGAATACATATCCTTTCTAAAATATAAACCATTATAATGTTCAATATTGCCCTATGAAAGTATGTGAAAATACAGAGACATTCAGTGTCTGTATACATATAAGGACATTCAGTGTCTGTATACATATGTGCAAAGCTAAAATACTGCTTTTTTCACTTAGGTGCAAATTTGCATTGATTACCAAAAAGTTCCCTGATTCCTCTTCATATTGTCAGTTAGGTTCCATTAAGAATCTTTACACAAAAGTAGCTATACAACTAAAACTACAGGAGGCAAACAGCTCAATTAATTTATTATTACTGATTTTAAAACCTTTTTAAATTATATAGTGACAAATATTACTTTTTACACTGCAATATCAAGCTGAATTCTGCTGCACAATTTCTAAATTATTTCAGTAAGTGTAAATTATTTCAGTAAGTGCATCCTCAAAATATGTGAAATACTGAATTTATAATGATGTTTGTGATTAAAACATTTGTAAATATCTCTTTTGAATCAGATGCTGGTGCTATTACATCCTTGAGCTTTAGGTACTTACATTTAGGATATACAGTTTCACTTTGGATGAGTACAGTTACTGAGTGGACAGAATACCATGTAAAATGTATAGTATAAAGAGATGGATATAGTATATGTTAACTACATTCATGTTAAGGGCCACATACTCTTTCTTTCTTGTGAAAGGTCTTCACTGGTCATATCAAGAATTGAGTGCTTTTAGGTTTTAAGAAAATGGTTATCTGGAACAGACTAGCCAGTAGAAGCTCTTTAGTCTTATGTATTTATGTATTACTGCCAGAATTGTTTTAGTGTATTACAGACACTTTGGGGATAGGGCTGTTGGGGCTACTGAATTCATATGGGCAATGAGGTGTTGGTAGTTCCATTCTTTTTCATTTATTGGCTGGTGTAGACTACATCCTGAAGGGTATGATTTGAAGAGAAACACAGAAGAATATTCTAGGCAGTTCACATAATGTTTTTGTTGCAAAGTCTGAAAAAGCTATGGCAAAGGTTTACAAGATTTGGCTGTGTATTTTTAAAATTAAATGGAAGTGTCTTTTTAGTAAATTTAAAAGAACAACAGAAATTCTTAGAGCTTATACAAACTTCTCTGTAAGCCTTCATTAAAAATGTATTTATTCAGTCAATCTTATGTCTAACTTTGTCTAGGAAAATTAGATTTAGTGCCATGAACACAGATAAGCTAATGCTGACACTTTCATAGACACCACTCATTTCATAATGAGCCCACATCTCTTTGATTTTGGAATCAACTCATTTCTTCCCTTCTCTTAACACTTCACCTTAGATCTAGCTGAGTCTTTGGTGAGTTTGTGGGCACAGTTTTCCAGCCTCCTTTTGTCTTAATTAATCATAGCTTCTGACTGGGCACTGAGCCAAGTCATGTGCTCTCTTGAAAATGGATTCTTGGAAAATTATGGGTACAGAGACTAGTACCAAGACACTCAAGACACAATCCACATATTGTCTGAATACAGTGGAGCACTGTGTGGTTAAAAACTGGTTTAATTGCCATTCGTCAGATTTAAGACATATATAGATATTACTTAACAAGTTGATTTTAAAATATTTTCTTGGTTTCTGAGAAATGGTTGTGCTGTGTTATACTGTGCATCCTTAATTGAAAGTCCAAGGGCTAAATTTCAAAGGACTGGACTACTTTTTCCTCTTTATGAGGAAAGTTACATTCCTGTAAGCATTTTTAGCTTGTTTGTTTTCCCCTTTCTAGATTATGAAAATATTGTCAGAAATTATGAGCAAGGAAAAATCAGGAAGTTATTGTAACTTACTCATTCTTCAAAATGAGCATCACCACTTCAAGGAGTGACAGAATCAGAAAAATAGAACAAAGCTTATCATCATATTGACCACCTTTCTGCTAGAAAAGGGTTCTTTCCTAAGATAATTTTTCTAGTATGTTTTCCTGTCCAATATAAATATATTATTTAAGCTCCACACTGTCAAATCTTGTTAGCATTATATGTGTATTTGAGAATAGGTTCTCTGGGGCAGAAAATTATTAATCTTTATTTTGATAAAACTGCAAGTGTCACTTTTCATTTATTTTCGTGGTCTTCTTAGTCATAGCCAGAGAAAACACTTTTTTTTAATATTATTATTTCAAACCTCAGTTCCTTGATTTTATTACCCTTAATGTTGTGGTTTAAAAAGAAGTTACTTGTGAAGATGCCTAAATCTACATCCTAGATCTTAACTTTTGTTCTCTCTACAGTTTACAATTCAGAATACACAATAGTTCCCAGCATATAAATGCAAAATTCAAGGGACTGAGCCTGCCTTGTTTTTTTTCCTTTACAGCTTTAGTAAGCATGAGGATTGTATCCATTTTTATGGCTCGCTGTTCCTCTGGGCAATAGACTATTGCTTTTGTTCATGAGGCCTGAACTTATCAGGATAGAAGTTCCCTCTAACTTTCTCAACCCCTTCTAACCATTTCAGCAAACTTCTAAATTTTTTCATTACTTTCTGTTAATCTGTTATCATACTGATTTATGCCTCATTTCCTGAACCCACAAATTCAGAGTAGAGCCGAAATGACAGTTCACTGTGTCATCTATGCTGGTATGAAGGCAACTGCAATCTTCTGAGTCTGTTACTTACAACATCGTATTCATCATCAGAGATTCCTGTTGCTCATCACCATTAGTCATTCTATTCTGGTTCCATATTTCTATTCCCCACGTTCCTTACATTCAGCATCATATTTCCTTTCTTCATCACAGATCCAACTATATTTTTCTAACCTGCTTTACAGTATGTTGCAGCACACCTTAACCTCTGAAAAGCTGAAGGCCTCCCATTCACAGCTTCATAGCTCTCCCCCAGTCTCATCTTCCTCTTTTAACTCTGCAGTCAGCAGGAAAGGAAACAAATGGGGCTTAGTAGATAATAGTAGTTAATTAAATAACCAATAACATATGTACACAAGCTTGGTAACTAATCAGTGTGTGCAGTATCCAGACCTGACCAAAGCATGCTCTGTGGAGCACTGTTTCTGTAAGGGGAAAGAGCAACCAGTAGGGAAACTGAGGATGCCCTGCTGAAGTTGTACAGTTACTCCGGAAAAATATTTGGGTGGACCTCCTCACAGACTGCCGATGGTGTCCTGAAGAGGATGCTCATTTTGGAAGATTTCTGTTGCATCTCTTCCCATCCAGCCATTACTGCATTTTATTTTCACTTTTCTTTCTTCCTCTTTCTCCTTATCTTTTCCCCTCCTTTCTGTCTTTTAACATTTTTCCTCAGAAATAACTTTTATTACTAGAGTTGGTGGATGTTATATGCTATGGACACTACAAATAAATCTTTGTGCATGAAGCTTTTCTCTACACTCATTTATGTTGCTGATTTTAATGAGACTGAATAAGAAAAGGAAACATCACATTTATTGGAATTTTGTTGCTTGCTTCTACCAATAGAAATTTGTATATCAATATATACAAATATTCACTGCAATTTTTTGAGTTTTAAAAAGTCCATAGTAATAGTAAATTGGTGATTTTCTTCCTTTTAAAATCTAAAGTATAGGCCAGTTTGTCCAATAACTCAGCTCCTGCAGTATTGATTCAGCTCTCACTGATTATTTAAGATGTCTGAAGTTGTGCAGGAGATGCCATAGCACGTGATCCAGAATACATTTTTTGACCTGTGACTGTTATTTGCTGCTCACTGTAGATTTATGCCTACGTATTTGAGAATATCAGATCAGTTCAGCTGGAGGCTTTACTTCTCTCCTTGCTGAGCATTGTGGTGCTTGTTCTTGTTAAAGAACTGAATGAGAAATTTCGGAGAGACATTAAAGTTGTTCTTCCCATCGATCTACTTCTGGTAAGTACAAAAATTATATCAGGCTTTTTCTTAGAAAGCTTTAAGTGGTTTAACTAATCTACTGAAGTTTACTGTGCTGTCCATAGTTACCTGCACCCACACCTGCCACTTATTAAATGGACAGCTAATTTTCATGGCTGTATGTTAATTGTAAGAACAGGAAACAGTTTGGCTAAATAATTAAGAAAGAAGTGACATATGCTCCCAATTTGTATAATATTTTTCATATGTTTACTACTTTTTACATAGTCACAAGAACACAAAGCCTAGTATGTTTGAAATAGAAAGTAAGAAGTTTGAAATAGAAAATGAAAAGTAACTGGCCCACGGTAACTCCAGGCAAGTTTTGTGCTGGGTAGTTGTGGCTTAAATATTGCTTGTTATTTGTCTGCAACAAAGGTAAATATCTATGCTGTTGCTTTATATAATTTTACTATTTATTTTAACAGTTTTCCTTTAACATGGCAGAGACTAAATTGAAATTAACTATTGCATTATAAACCTCTGCTTTAAGGATTAAGACGTAGTCATATGATCAGCACCAGGGTAGAAGGTTTCTGATTTTCTCTGAGCCTCTAAAACAAAATACAAAATATGAAGGACAGGTGCTTTTCATGGTGGATCATCACAATTAATCTTCTTTTGCTGGAAAAAGTTATTTACAAAAGAATAATTTTTATTGGGCAAAATGCTGGAAAAGGAGGTAGTGTGGTTCTCCTCCATGCTTTAAGATCTGTTTCTATGTTACCTTTTTTAAAATACTGGATAAACATACCAGCAAACTAAGGATTGTGGACTGGAACCCATGCCTGTTCTATTGGGATTTGTGTGTTCGTCTCATAAAAAGTATGGGAAATGATTTTGAACCTCTTTGGAGTCAAACTTTCCACTCCTCAGCAAGATTCCTACCTGCTGGAACATAAAAATAAGAGGCAGACATATATTCTGCTGTGTTTTGTGCTGAAGTCAACAATGCCAGTCTGGATTAGATGTGCTCAGAGAACATCTGCTGAATCAGACTGCACAGGGACACCTAAATTACGCACTTCTTTAAGCTTCTCACATGAATGGCAGTGGTTTGGGGTGCAGGCTGAATAGAGGGAGTTTGGACACTGATTGGCAAGGTTCCTGAGGCTCTATAGAGACTCATACAAATCTCTTTCATTACCACAGAATGTACAAATTGCACTATAGTCCTTCTCCAGCCATCTTTTCTAAATTCATTATTGTGTCCAGATCTTAGTTTCTTTTGACTCTCTTCCACATTTGCAAAAATTTCATAATAACACTTTGCTGCCTTACTAGATTGATCTAAGGATAAATGTATGAACAGTTTTATGTGCTTAGGTGTGTCAATAATAGGGACCATGTCAGAAGCTAAAACCAATAGAAATATAATGTCTTTTTCTGTGTTGAATCAATAGATAATTGCTACATCCATTGCTTGCTACTATGGTGATATGGAATACGTCTATGGCCTAGAAGTTGTGGGACATATTCCTAAAGGGTAATGTACTTTTTATTAGCTCGTGGCCTTTAAATATGTTTATTTCTGAGAACAGTCTCTGAAGAGGTCAAAGTAGTTTTGCAAAATAAGAAGTGGCAAAAATCTATTATGTTCATTTCCCATCTCCTCAAATACTCTCTCACAATTCAGCCCCATGTTAACAAGTTTTATCTGTATAGACACCATTGCAAAAATGCATTCTTGTACATTTTCATAGCTTTTTATGACTTTATGGAATAAAAACTAGGCACTAAATACTTGATGTATGAGAGAAGGGCAGAACACTCTCTACAAGATTATTACAATCTGCTTTTTGGAGTTGCCTTGGGCTATTGTAGCAGAAAGGACTTGCAATAAGATTTATCAATTACTACACTTCATTCTTCATATAGTAATTTTAGACAATGCAGTTTCTGAGGAAATGTGAAGGATTTAATTATGTTTAATCTAAAAAAAGAGCATTTTTACTACAGTTAGTGATACACTTTTCTCCATGACCTTGAAAGAAGGCAAAAAAAAAAAATCAGTATAATTAGCTGGAAAGAGAAATGAGATTAGTTTTCAGACAAAATGTTCAAACTCTACAGGTTGTTATGGAAGAGCACAGCTATTGTGTAACCTCCTGTTTGGATATTGCAGGATTTCCCTAAATTTCACAAAATACAAGTTCAAGATGTCATAAGTGCCTGTGTGGTAGTTTGCACTGATAGAAATAAAACAAAGGACATTTCTGAGAACAAAAATTGGTTTTAAGTATTTAGGGCATGCTATGAATCTGAGATTAAAACAGGGCAAAGTGTGCCCCTTCAATGTGTAATGAGCAGGTAAATTGTATTTTTGCAGCTTTAATCAGGAATTTATTTTCTGTCTAACTTCACGTGAGTAGTGTTGAAAAACAGAAGCAGAGCCTGAATCATTCCTGTATATTTGTAGGCATTTACCTGAAATATGTAACTGCCTTGCCAGTGAAAAGCAACAGAAACCTTAAGAACACAATTTGTTTCTCAGGTGGTACGATTTGTGCTCTAGAGAGACCAAAGTCTTTTTGTGGGGTACAATTTAGGGTGATTTAGTTCTTAACTGAGTTGTTTTGTAGCAGTTCCCATTAGAAGGTCTCCATTAGATGGAATAAATGTCCATACTGTCCATTACCTACAGGATATGAAATTGTTTAAAAGGTTTAAATTAAACTTTACAGGAAAGCCAACTATTAAAAAAAATACAGTAGGGTCTCTTCTACTGAACATTAAAAAATTAGTGAACGGTTGCTGATTTTATCTCTCAGTGAGGGAATTAAATTGAATACTCCATCTGAAACTGTTTTATCTTCTTCTACAAATTCTCTTCCGCAGTTCCCAACAGATTGAGATCTTATTAATCTAAAATATTGAAAAGTGTCACCTTAAAAGTCGCAGAAAAATTAGCTGTTCATGCAGAGATTGTTTCCCTTGTATTTGCATGAATTGCAGGTTTATAGAGACTATGTATCAAGTTTTGGAAGAATTCTTGTCTTTATTTTTTATAGGTTGCCATCACCAAAAATGCCACCCATGAATGTCCTGCCTGAAATAGTCACTGAAGCTTTTGGAGTAGCACTGGTTGGTTATGTGGCCTCACTAGCTCTTGCTCAAGGCTCTGCTAAAAAGTTTAAATACACTGTGGATGACAACCAGGTAAAGCTCTTTCTCCTTCCTGTTACCAAGCCTTGACATCACTTCATCATTTTGGAAAAGTATTATAGATGAATGTCCAGTAGGAAAGGGTATGTTCCCTATGGCATCTGACGCCTTCTAGTGATTACAGAAACACCCAAATCTTGTTCAGATCATCTCTGCAGAACGCCCTCATTGGTTGAGGCCTTCTTTTAGGGAAGTGCATCCTTCAGGATAGTCTTGTAAGACTACATCCGGTGCAGCATTTGGGCAATAAAGCATTTTTCACTGCTCTAAGGGGAGACAGCTTCTCCTCTGGCGGGTGAGCTCTTAAAGACAAGTTATGATGTTAAATCAGCCACTGATTAATGAAACAAAACAATTCTAAAACTAAACCAGGTACTTATAAGCCCCAGGACACATCTGATGTTATAAAAGGAAGTTATTTTATGCGAAGTAGAAGTCTCGTGAAATAAACGTTTGTTTGTACAAAAGAAGCAGGGTAGATTCAGAGAGTGCTGCCAAATTTACAGCCATAGGAGCTTTCTTTTCAGACTTCCACTTTACAGAGGACATGCTTAAATAAAAGTGGGCCATTATTTCTACACTACATTGCTTGTCATGGTGGGTGGGTAACTCCAAGCCAACTGGAGATCAATGGAGACAATAATTCAAGCACTGTGGTAAGAAATGCTCAATTTCAGATAACTGGCAATAGCATTGTGTGATGAAAATGCTGCCTCCACCTTTTTGTTAAGTGATCTGGGATGAATGACATAGGGTTGAATGAAGAATGGTTGGTTTTGCAGCTCGAGGTCTATTTGAACCCCCTATTTAGACAGGTCAGTCTTGCTACATCAGTTCCTCTGCTTTAAAACTCTTATGTCACTGGAAATTATAGTGGGAATGGTCTTACCTACTCAGGTCTCTAAAATATTTTTCCATATGAATACACTTGGCCATGAATTTCTGTTGATGCTTCAGAGCCATGTTTTCTAGGGAGCAGCGGGAAAATGCTTTGAGCTTAACACAGGCCAGACTTCACAGTGACACGCTGCTTTGTTTCAAGGGCACTCAATGGAGCACAGCAACCTGTATGTCTTTCTGAAACTTTGGAAGTCTTGTAGCTTACACAGCTAATTACTGAAGCCTTGGAAACTATGTGTATGTCTGCACTGAATAATGGAGCAAAAGAGCAAAACCTCCATGAGAAGAGAACAGTGCTGTGTCTTTACTGCATTCAGGGGCTAGGCACAGTGCTCTGCATGGTGCCATGTGGGAGGGTGTGTGTGAGACTGCCTGGGAACCTTTTAGGAGGTACTGTCCTGTGCTGTGAAGATAAACTTATGATCAGGTGTTCTCCTGGCTGGATACAGTACCATTTGTGTCCCAAGCACTTCTGAGGTCTTTTCTTACACATTTTCCTCAGCAGACCAATATGCTTCAAACAGTCTGGGGAAGAAGACTGATGCTGGGTGGCCAAGTAGGAATGCTTTCTTAGAAAACACTTCAGCTTAGGCTGCATGTACAAGGTGGCTTCTCCACTTTTTCTTCTATAAATCTTTGGTCAGATGTGTCAGCACTTTGACTGTGAACAAACACAAAATACATTTGTGATGAAAGACAGCATGCAAATAGTATGGCTACCACACTTCACTTTCACTAAAACATCCTCTAAAAGAAATAAAATCAGTGTCCGTCTTTATCCAGTAGAGTCATAAGCCAGATATGATCTGGACACTCTCCAAATACAACTATCTGGGGCTCTGGCCAGTGAAAAGGCAGATGTGGGTCAAGATGTAAATATTTTTGTTGAACTTTGTCTTCAAAACTTAGCAATAGCATTTATTGTGTGAACAAAATGTGCCTCCTGCTTTTGATGAATCTGGTTCAGCAGCTCTATCACTCAAATTAATTCTGAGTTGTCAGAAGATATGTTCTGTTGGGAAATCCTTTTTCATGAACATATGTGATTTTTTTCCTTCAAAAATATGCCCATCCTTTATCAGTTAATATTTACATAGGGGACTCCTTTGTTGGCAAGAGGCATTGAAATGACAGAACAATAGGAAAAAAACATCTTCTGTTTAAAAACTTTGCAGGAATTTTTGGCTCATGGCCTCAGCAACGTGATTCCTTCATTTTTCTTTTGCATACCAAGTGCTGCAGCGATGGGACGGACTGCACTTTTGTACAGTACGGGCGCCAAAACACAGGTAACAGGTTAGAATGAAGTACGTCAGAGAATTAAAACTGTAATACTGCCCATTGGAACTTGTACTGATTTGTGCATTGTACTTCCCTGTTGTCCCTTTTCCTCTGTCCTGGGAATGACTCTGCCCTGTCATTTTTAACAATCTGCATGAAATTGCATCCGATCAGCAACGTCTTCCTAGGAAAGCTAATGGTTCCAACTTACTCATTTTTACCTGCTTAATTCAATATAAACTGTCAGGTCTGTGGCATCAAGGAGGTTAGGAGTTGTGTTTTCAGACTGCAGAAAACTACATAAAAGCCCTTGCAGTTTATGTGAATTTGTCAGCAGTGTAATAAAAGTACCCTCCAATGGTGTTTAATGGATTTAGTAGTACAGCCTAAACTGAGGTTTTTAGGTTTAATAGTGAGCATGGTGGTGGTTTTAGGTTGATGGTTGGACTTGAAGACCTTAAAGGTCTTTTCTAGCCTTCACAATTCTACGATTCTATTGTTACTTTATAACGGTTGCTCTTTCCTGTATAAAGGCCATTAGCTGCAAGGAAAAAGGTAATGAGGTACAACTGAATAGGCTAAGTACAATCCATAGGTACTGTTTCTTCTTGACCATGTCCTGCAATTATTTCACGTGCAGATGTCACAATACTAAGGAATTACACAGGGCTTTACTTCAAAAATCTGCATGTTAATTACTTGCTAATTAGCCTACAGGGTACTCCTAACTCAAGTAATCATAATGAATAACAAATAATAATCTTGAAAAGCACTTATATGCAAATAGTTTAGCTACCACTTGTTATTAGTTATTTCATACATTTTCATTGGATTCAATGTTGTGTCTTGTGCCCTCGTCCTTATAGACATCCTCTTCTGCAGCCTGTCAATGTACTGATTGTACAGTTTGCAGTTGTACTGCATCATGTTGTACTGGCTTTTTCAAGGAATATTTAAGGTAACCTGAAGACCTACACCTGAAGACCTATAACTTGAAGGCATATATGGTATTTGAGCACTTTGGCTCTGGTACATGTAGGCAAAGGCCCTGATAGAAGGTTATTCAATACAAAATGGAAAAAGAAACCACCATAGTTTGATTTCAAGGTAGGAGATGCATGGTAAAAATCTGCTTTGTTTTATACATTGGTTTCACAGTATAGCAGAGCTTGCATCTGAAAGTTAGAGTATGGCTATGAGAGTACTTCAATAAATGTAACAATCTCTCTCCTGCCTTTTTTTTTTGGAAAGCAACACATCCACTTGATCCTCTACTTTGTGGCTGCCTAGGCAGAAAGAAGAGATGAGAAGAGCATCACTTGTAAATGTTGGTCAAGTCATAGGCAAAAAGAAGAGAGAGGGGTTGCTTTGGCTACATAGACACAAGTGAGTTTAGCATAGGTCATGGAAGTAATGCAAAGAGACTTTCAGGGGCACAGAGCAGCCCTTTTTTCTCAAATGGCTATACCTGGGTTTCAGTTTTGCCATTTGTTCTTCAGTGATATCTTTTCCTGGGAGAAAACAGAAGTGAGGGACTCTATCATGGACTAGAAGTGTCCTTCAAACAGAATCAACACTTTTTTTGCTTGCTCTTTGTGAAAGCAGAAAGAGGAAAAAGTTCCTTGTGACTTTACCAGCAGATTTTCTGTCCCTTTTTCTGTAAACACTCTGTCTATCTTTCTTGATGGTATTTTTAAGTACACCATGACTTTAATTTTCTAGTGTTTTAGCAACTTGTCTGGTTTTGTTTTTAACAACTTGTCTCTTAAAATGAAACCTAATTATTTTAGTAAAGAAACATATTATCGACATAAAAATAAAGTGAGCATCTGTCTACTTATCGTCAAAAACCTTCTGTGAATCTGAACTGTATAAGAGCAGAAGAACTCGGTGAACACTCAGAGTGGAGTAGGACAGTGCAATTTTAGGGTAGTTTTCAATCAGATTAATACCATAAATACTGTGAAGAAGCATATAATTATTAGACCATATATTTTTCTGGATTAATTTTACCTACATTAATTATGATTTTTAAAATATTTTTTAAAAACTGTACCCACATTTTCTAAAACCAAGTCCACTGATATTAACATGAAATCATTAGTGGTTTCTGAGTTAACACAATACTTTTCTCTTAGTGTTAATCTCAGTAAAAGAAGTTAAAAGTCTTCTGCAAAAATGACAACATACATAACTTCTGCTTAGTGCTATGACAGATATGCTATTTAGTGCAACATAGGGTGCATGGCTATAAATATGTTACAGAATGACACTGGGTGCTAAGAAACTTCTGGGATGAGATATTGCACACGTGCTCCGTTTAATAACCAAGTGCATAAGTGATGCTCTGCTCTGGTCTGTGTGCTGGGAGCAGGGTCAAGCACAGATGTCGAGATCTCTCACTATGTTTTCACTGTAGTTGGCTGAAAGTAATCACCAGATATTAAAACTGAAATTACATGCATCTGCAAGTCACAGATATGTTAAGAGCTAACATCTTCAGCATTTAATTCTTGACTTTATCTACAAAATTTTATAATTAATCCTTTTCACAATTTTTTTTGGTTGTTGATCTTCATTTCTTGTTTATTGTTTTAGGTGGCTTGCCTTATCTCTTGTGTACTAATTCTTGTGGTGATCTATGCAATTGGACCTCTGCTGTACTGGCTTCCTATGGTATGGTACTTATCTTTTTTAAGATTAAGATGTCAAACACTTTGTAATGAAAATTTTTTTCAGGGAAAGGCAGTTCTACCTCTAAAACAGCTCTATTTAATGTAATTGGGGGAAAGAATAGTAAGGGCACAGTAAGCCTCTAAATCACAAAATACAGATGTGACAACATAAGACATAGATTTTGCACATATATAGTTGCATATATAGGCTATCACATAAGGAAATAAAAAAAGTGCATTTCTCTTCTATTTACTTTTGGCCTGTAATTTATGAAAAACATACAGCCAAGTTGCTGTGGATTTGCAAATTGACAAAATGTGCTAGAAATTAATAAAGATTCTCAATATTTCTCCAGGTATGTATATGATACATGACTTTGCTTTTCAAATAAATTTGACACAAATTATTTTAGATAGTGATCTAAGCTTAATTACAGAAAGATTATGAAGTATTCTTACATCTCTGTCATGGAATACATCTTCTATGTTAAAACTATAAAACAGTGTGGCATCTTTTCACATAAGCTAGATTTAGCTTTTGGTATTACAAATTAATGGTTAATTTTAACTAGAGGCATGTCAAAGCCACAAAATACAGCTCCAAAATTGTCCACAATTCTGCCATGTTTCCACATGAAGTTTTAGCTCAACTATGTTTTAAATTTACTTTGTGCTATTGTTTACATGGTGTCATGAAAGTTCTCACTTTTCAAACAGATCCTTTTATAGCTTATTTTAAGCATGCAAAGTAAGGACACTTGAAGAGGGGTGCACAGTATGTCCTTTTTTTATTTTCCTACTTTTTTTTTTTTACTTTCCTACTTTCGTACTTTAATTTTTTAAAATGGATTATATGTAAATTTTGACTGGTTTCCTGTAGGGTTTTTTTCCCATATTTAAAATATACTTTTTGATTTTTGCTTTCTTGATATTTTATTTCTCTTCTAATATGTTTTTTCAGCCCTCCCCACCTACCCACTGCAAGTTCATTGGTTTGTACTCCATTCTTTTTGGTTATAGATTACCCATCATCCATATTCTCCTTTCTGATTCAGAGAACAACATATTATTTTGTTTGCTTCAAAATTAATGGACCTTTGCCCTAGAGGCCTTCTCTAGGGGTAGGAGAGAAAGTGAAGAAGGGGAGTTAAAATTCTTCACTGTGTAGAAGTAGAGTGTTGATTTGCTTGTGAGTACTTCAGACTATGGGAGAATGTAGTTGGTCTGGTGACACATGGAGAGTCTTGGGTAGTCCTGAAATTTCTGTAATTTTTCTCACAATTAGGTGGCCTATAGATTGCGTTCACAAAACAAACAAACAAACAAACAATCAAACAAAAAAACCCAACAAAACAGGGGTGATGCTGTTAGTGTTTATGTCACAGGGACACCTGTGCTTATCCCGTTTTTGAAACACTAACTAGTTTTTTATAATTTCATTATAACATTGACTGCTAAGTAAAAGAAAGAGCATTTGTTTTCACTTACAATTCTGCAAATGGCTTTTGTTTTTATGTCTTTGCAGTGTGTCTTAGCAAGCATTATTGTTGTGGGGTTGAAGGGGATGCTAATGCAGTTCTGTGACTTAAAAAAATATTGGAATGTGGATAAAATAGACTGGGTAAGTAAAACTTAATCTAAGGAGGTTTCCCTGAGACTTTTTAACAAATACCTAATAAATAATCTTTAATAGTTCTGTGACCCTAGAAGATATAAGTGCAAGCCGTAATTAGTATTTTTGTGTACTATTGGCTCAGAACAATAGCATCTGTAGTATCAGTTGTATTAAAAAATGGCATTTTAGCAAATGATAAATAATCAAACCTAATTTAATGCTAGCGATGTGTATACAGACCAATCAGGTTAATGTGAACAAATATGTGTTTAATTTTTATGCCTTCTCTATCTGGTTGACATAAGCTTTTGCTATTGTAGTATTATTGGAGAGATTTGGGTATCTTTGTCCTCTGGGGACATGGAATGACCATACGGGAAAAAACAGAACTGGAAACACTGGGGATGCAGAAAGATACATGTTGAGGGGTTGTTGGGTTGTTGTAGGTAAATTGCCTTAACTCTTTCAGATTTTGCAAACAGAATATCTATTGTTCAATCATAACAAAAGTTCTGCACTATGAGGGGAAGAATACATCAGAAATCTAGTTTAATACAAAGTCTGAATAGTCTGACAGAATTTGCACAGAATTCCTTGTGAATATTAAAGACAAATCCACGTGTGAGAAAAGTCCTGGATTTGTCCTCTGTGGGAGTTTTTAAATGTATTGGCCAGTTAGTGGAACCAAAACTTCTAGGCACTTACATAGATACATATATACTGGCATCCCATATATTTAAGGTAACAAATATTCAGAAGGATATTTTGACCATATTGTCCTTCTCTGTGGTGGGAGATATAGTTTACTGGAGTTAATATTGGGCTTTGATGAACTCACCTGTGACTTACAGCAGTAATGGTTAAGTCTGACTAATCATTTAGACTGAGTAAAATGTTTTTTTTAATGGGGTACTGGATTTAAGTATGGGATATAGAGCTGGCTAAACAACATCAAGTTTGGTTACGTGAGTTTTTTCACATTTAGTCACAAAAAACTAGGTTTTTGGGTTTTGTTTGATTTGTTGGTTTTGGTGAGGTTTTTTTGTATCACCCAGAAGAAAAGCTCTATCTTTCATGAAATCTTATGCTCCTCAAGCAGTAAAATTCTGAAAATATTTTCTATCACTTGTACTGTATTTGATCTTCAGTTTAACACATATTGCCAATGACAGAAACAGTGGATGATGTGGATCAAGAATTTTTTTGGCTACACTGGACTTAAGAAAATTGGTAGTTACGGGAGAGAGATATATCTTCTCTATCAGTGCATTGAGACAATAAGTAGTTAAGTTTTCCAGCAGGATATTCTGGAATGTCAGTAGATTTGATGCATCTTCACAGATAGACTTGCCTGATTGATTTTTGCTTTTCTGGTTTTGGCAGAAAAGGCTGAGTGAGTAGTTAGTTATTACCTTTCTGATGTCTATCATTTCTAAGAGAGATTATAGAAAGGGGGAGTTTGCTGGGTTCATCTTTTTGACTGAAGATACTTGAACAATGATTTATCTTCAAGTAGTTGTACCATCAGTCCTTAGCTTGACAGGGTAAATCATCTTGCTTTAAATAGAATAGTTTAAAGTAAGGCTATAAACATTGATCTTGCATTGCTGCCTGCTCTGAGGAGCCCCACCAAGCCCAGTGATTTGTATAACTACACTGGTGTTATTTTGGCCTGAAAAGATTCACTGCAGCAATTGACAGAACACTGGAAATGAATTATTCAATCACCCAGGTTATCCAAAGTGTTTTGAAGATAGAAACTCTAACAAAACATTTGGAAATAATTAGCAGTTGTCCTTTCTGGAACTGATTCTTTGAAGGGTGTGTGTCATGTAACACTGAAGTCAGGTTTGTTATGCTTATAAGTCTGGCAAATGATAGTGCATGGAAACAGAATATTATGGTGTTTGTTACCTTTCTTCTTCACACTTCCTTAAGCTTCTCATTGAACACAAATGGGATGAATAACATTTTCTTGTTGATTAGTTCTTTATAAACGTAATCCTTTTAAACGTTAAAGGTTCAGCTTGAAAGGTACTGTTCAGGAGTTGGACTTGAGGATCTTCATTCGTTCCATCACAGGATATTCTGTGTTTCTATGAAATTTCTTCTTTTAGCTATGGATGGCTTTTCCTTTCAGATTTAATGTTTAGGATCAGCTGAGTTCAAATAAGCAGCTAGGCTGACAGACTTTAGTAGCCAATAATTATTGCATAAATTTGTTTCAGTTTTCTTTTGACTTGTTTTTTATCAACCCTCAGGGATGTCCTGTTTTACAACCTGCCTCTCAAATCACATTCAGTTGTTTTCCAGATAGTACCCCACTGTCCTTAAATCCAGATATCTCTTTCCTGCCGTTAACAGCATCCATGTGAACTTCAAATGTCTCTTGCTTCTATTGCCTTACAAAGCTCTGAGGCATCACTTCAGTTAAGGTCTTCTGTCAGTCACTACACCTTCTTGGTTGGATGACTTCAATAATCACAGATTAATAATTTCACTATTCCACTATATATGTTATATACATAACTGGGAGTGATTTGTCCTGATTTTTTTTCCTCTGTTTTGGGGAACTACCAGGAAGCTGATCTGGTATTTGTCTGTGAGTATCTCTCACTTCTCAGGTCCTGAGATCAAAAGCTGATTTCCATATCCGTCCTGCAAGCCTAAATTCTTATCCAGGCAAACTTGACTAACTTACCTTTTTATTCGCCAGCTTGACAGTGCACTTTGCTAGAATCAATAAAAAGGCCAGTAAAGTTCTTGTTAACTCTTGATTTTAAGGCTCAGCATCCCAGATAAGCTGCCTTTTAAGCAAGGCAAAAACTACTGCCTGGAAATGGACTGTTGAAGAACAATATTTTCTTTGCTGTTAATAATTGGACTTGAAAGTGACCAAGGATGGGGGAAAAGTATTTCAGAAGGTGATGCTCCAAGTGAAAAATGATAATAGAATAAGGATTGTTTTCATAAGTTAATTATATAGCAGGGATCTGGGGAATTCAACATGGAAATACTCTGGCATTTAAAGAGAAAAAAAATATTTTAAGGTTGCACCTATGACTTGACCACAAAATGACCACAGTTGAGACAAAGCCAGCTTCATGATTGACTTCATGATTCATAAAGCAGGAAGAATGGCAAGAATTTATGGTAAAAAGTACAAATTCCCTGCAAGGTGTTGTGATGTGAGAGGCAGTTATTGATACGTGAATTGTAAGTCCATGCACATATAATAATATTTAAGGATGTAAAGAATGCTACTAATTCAGAAATTAAAGTAGATCCAACAAGGAGGGTCTCATTTTTGACAAGTATCCTCCAAGATCTTGCCAGTGTGAGTTTCTGAGACATGGATCCACCGCTCTTTCAACATATTTTGTCAAAATATTTAGAGAAGAGAGCCCAGGGAGGATCTTCCTTGAAATTTTGGAGCTCATTAGTGTAATTTCTTGGGTTTTTTGGAACTTCTTAACTTACTATCCTCAGGAGGGAGATGCCCTTTTAAATTCGTCACACATGGGTCCTGATTCATGAGAGGGCTCTAAGAGCCCTGAGGGCTTTGCTATATAAACAATTTTCTGCACGGTAGGAAACCATCTCTTCTGTGAGAATAATTTTACATCCATGCTTTTAGCTTATGACATCTTAGGGAGATTTTCTATTTTTCCTGCATTAGTGAATATGCTACTCTGAATTATATTACTTGTGCTGTAGTTGATCTCAGTGGGGTGGCAAGGAATTTGCAAATGCTTAATCCATTGAAAGTATGCTTGCCATATATATTATTTTCAAAGAGTAATATTCGTATCAGTTCTTCTGTCTCCAGGGCTGTTTGAAAAAAAATACTGTCTTAACCACTGTGTATGGAATACTTGTGAAAAATTATATTAAAGAACTACGATACAACTTTATTATCAGAGGATCATTTAGGTTGGAAAAGACCTTTATAGACCATCTTGTCCAACCATTAACCCAGCATTGCCAAGTCTACCACTAAACCATGTCGCTGAGTGCATTAAGCAGTTCCTGCTCTATGTCTGTGGTGGTTTTCTCTTCAGCCCTTGAATCATAAGTTTTGGTGAAGGGTGTGCTGGAGATGAATGCCAGGATCAGTCATTTGTCTGCAGAAGGACGTGGGAGCAGGGTCATGTCACTCAGCCTCCTTAGAGCCAGAGCTTCCTCCAGGACTCCAGCATCTTCCCTGCTGAGATACTTCCTGAATTAGTAGGACTTTAATGGGATTCTTCTTTTGGCTACATGATGGTGATGGTAACATGGGCCTCTCTTTGAGCAAGTCATCACAGCCTCACATTACAGATAGTACAGAATTGGTCAGCCGAGTCGTGTTAGGGTGTGATTCATCTCTTCCTCAAGTAAGCAACAGCATAATCAGGTAGGAGTTAAACGAACTGCATCCTAAATTCTCCTCACTCTGATAACCAAATCTCCATCAGTTATGGTAGGAAACTAGACAACTGAGCTGCAGTTTGCAATGAAAAAGGGAAGTTTATAATCTGGTTTCAAAGTGGTAGAGAAACATTTATTTCACCATACCTTAGCATTGCATAGTTTAGCCCTAGGTTCAGAAAGTATTCTACAACTTATTTATATGCTTTTTTCCTACCAAGTTCCCGTTTCAGATGCTCCTCAACGGTGGATGATTAGATCCTATGAAATGGAAAAGTCTAGATGGAGGCAGCTGCTATATACACAGTCACTGCACCTCTCAATGCTTCCGATACTTTCTCATATATACAGGAGTCAACATAAGTCCATTACTTCTGCTTGTTTCTTTTCTCCCTCTTTAGAATTTTTCTATAAAGTAGTACAGTACAAAGATACTTTGAAGGTGGATTTTGTTTTGACTTTTGAGAATAACATGTGCCTGTTACACATTGTTGCTAAGATTTGAAGAGTGATTAGGTTCTATCTGTCCTGGACTGTGCATTAACCATCTTGAAGTAAGTTGCCAAAGAAAACTTCAATATTTTTATGACTTCTTTGATGAACCTTGCAATAGCCCATAAAAAAATCTATCAGATCAACATAACTTCTTTCTACAAGTTTGATGCTACACTAACTAAAGAAGCACTGACTCCAGGCCAGTACAAAGCACTGAAAGGGTGTTTGACTAATGAGAATATAATTGTTTTGGCTTAACCCCTACCTCAATGTCAGTCTCTGATTACAGTTAAGATGTAAGATACTAGGCTACTAGAGAGGCACTCAGCTAGCTTATTCAGTATTCAGCAGTACTTAAGCATTTTTGGCTTTTATTTTTCCTATGCAGACTTTGTATTGGGTTTTCATGCTTCCTGTTTTCTTCTGAGATGTAAGAATTTTGCAGGTCTAGCAGCAGTGATTTAGTTAGATGTGATGAGGCTCAGGTTTGCAGCTGAAGTGGATTGCACTGAAGTGGATTCAGGTGTTGTCAAAGGTTCAGCCTTATCAGGATAGGCTAATTCTTGATCCCAACTGAACTTCAGGTTTGTGGTATTTTTGTTAGCCCTTTCATGTCCAGTGAGCTCCTTTAAAAATAAATATTGGATTTGTAAATCTTAGCATTACTTTCTTACTGGTTAATTAAAACTTATATCTATTGCTCATAAAGGTATTCTTTGCAAATATACACACAACAATTGTATAAGATGTCATGTTAAAATACAACTGGTGATTGAGGACAGTCTCAAAGAATGAACTGCCTCTTCATCTAGCAGCTGTGCCATTGAAGAGATTGCAAAACCTTTTGCAGAAGTTAGGAATCTTGAAGTTGAGGGAGGGAAAGGTTTCTTGATAGAACCATGTAACACTGTCCTCTGTGAAGCACAAATTAGTACAGTATGACTTACATTTATTTTATAATTCATAAAATAACAGTTCTGAAATCTGCTCAAGCAAAATTCCTGTGGTTAGGCTGAAAGTGTTCTATTGTCTCTGGCTTTCGTGAGTTAAGTAAAAGCATTAGAAAGGATAATCTTAACATTGATCGTGCCATTGTAATGTGAACTGTTATTCTGCAAACATGAACAAGAAGCACTACAAGAAGTAATTGTTGAAAAGGACACCTGTGGGGATCAGGATATTGAGAGGAGTGAAAATACTTTCCATTCTTCTTTAACACCTTTATATAAAGTTTAGGTGGCAGTCTTTGCTTAAGGCTCCCTCAAGGAGAGAAATTTGTGCTTTATTATATCAATTAGGTTGGTATAAGAAATCGAGTAATTTGTACTTTTCTTCTTTTAATTGTAAAATCTGGGTATCTCTCAGCTATACACATCATTGTAGTATGGAAATAAAAATGAACATTTCTGGTAAGAGAATAATTTTAACAAATGAAATGTTAATTTTTTAAAGTTTTTTAAAAAATATTTTAGATTTCTTTTCAAAGTGACTTTAGTTTCAGATATGCTTTTGTATATTTTTTTAATTTTAATTTAAGATGAATCCAAAATTTTAGTAATCAAATGCTGAAAGATGGGGAAGTAATATGAAATCTCACCATTTCTATGGGAAGGAATTCATTCCCCAGTAATTTTTGTTATAGAATTGTTTTAGCCAGCTTTACTCTGATAAGCACCACTTTTAATCAGCCTCCTTGCAAATTATAATTCCCACTTATATGATTAGTGGGAGAAGAGCTCTCTGTATGTGACCTCATTTACATCCTCATTGTATGAAAGGAAAGGAGGATTTAAAATCTGTGCAGTCAAGAAAGTGGCAAGAACTTGCAATGTGAAATATAAAATACAGGATTTACAAAACAACAGTTCAGTCTGTTTATGCTGTTAGCACAAGTACATATGCTATTTTAAGTATCTCTGGAAGGAATCTCTGTGATCACTGGGATGAGTAGTACACGTGGTCTCCCATGGGGAGGCATTACTTTCATTGCTAATTCAGTCTTCAGTATTTGCCAGTTCAAAGATCCAAATGTTCACATCTGAGAAACTATCTTAGTTTTAAAAATCTTTTTTCTCATTCATAAAATGCACATTGCTATGAAATTTAAAACTAATCACTTCTTTTTGCTTCCCTCCTTCAAGAGCATATGGGTTAGTACCTACGTGTTTACAATATGCTTTGCTGCCAATGTGGGACTGTTGTATGGCATTGTCTGCACTATAGTAATTGTGATTTTCCGCTTTCCCAGGTAAGAATCAATTTATTGGAATGTTCTACTAGCACATCATTATGTATTCTTTCTGCCTATTGATTCATAGTTAGGATGGACATACAGTATACTGAATTCAGTATTTTAGTTGCAGAAAATTACAAGATAAGACAATTGAAAAAGTCACGCCTGTGCATTCACCATAGACTAAGGATCTCTACAACATTATATGAAATGGCATTATTTTGTGATTTCTCTTATTATTACACATCTATATGATTCATTCTGTGAAGGTAGAAAAAATCAATAGAAAGATTAATATTGTAATTTTTTTCCATTAGATATTTATTTGATCTTTAATGAGAAATTATGTCTGGCAAGCCTTAGTAACTAAGCACCTTTATAAACTCCTAGGTACTATGTTGCACAGGAGTTGGTAGTTGACATTTGCACTGCTCATATACATTAATGAAACATAATGCACAACTCTTCTAATATCTAATAAAAAGTATCTTTTCTGTTTATGAATTAAAAAAGTCAGAACAAATAAACTAGAGTAATCAGAAGTTCTTATATTATATATTACAGTTGCTACTTTGTATCATGAGTAAAGAGAATATATCAGCTGAGGTTCATGATTGATTTGTGCTACAGAATTAATTCACAGATCACCAGACCCGGAAACGACTTGCTGCTTGCATGCAGTTGTTTGCATGAACATTGAATCCCACTGAAATTAAGCATAATATAGACAGCTTGATTAAATGCTTGTTAAAGTTATTGGTGTTATCCATTTGTGTACAGCTCTGTTCTCTTGGAAAAGTTGCAGAACCAGCATGAAAATAGTTCAAAATTGCAAGGCAGTTAAAAAATTATGGAAGATGATCTCTGCTTGAATCAATCAGTACCTTTGTGGTAAACTTCTGCTATTCAGCAAGCTAAAATTTTGGTAAATTCTGCTAGTAAAGCAAAATGCATGTTTTTACCCTGGACCTCAATGTTTGAGGTTCTCCAACAGCAGAAAGGGAGGGATATCTAACACAAAAGAGCATGATCCTCTGTTGCCTGATCTAACAGAGACCTCAGTCTGAACCTGCACTCTTCCCAGTGATTTCTGTGTTCTTCAGTCAAGCTGCGTGCGATTGTCCATGCCATCTAAAGGCACTGAACAAGGTAGCAGCCTTAAAATCTGTACTGTGCAGATGTGGTTAGTGAGACAACATGTAGTAAGCCATGCAGTCATGAGCAAAAGTGTTAGCAGAAGTGAAGCAAGTAAAATATCTTAGATTATTTATTGAGAAGTTTCTGTTCAGATGCCAGAGTATTGGATGTGGTACATGTCACGTATCAGAATGTAAATTAAAACCAGCAGCAGCTACAGCTTAATTTATGCAAAGAGGAGAGAACAGCTGACTTTTGCAAGGCTCATTTAGCCAGCCTCAATACCTGCAAATACTCTTTCACACTGACACATCTATTAAATGTTTGTATTCTGGGATTATTTCCACTGCCTAGCTTTAGGCACAGAGCTCAGATAATAGCTAATTTGATAGTCTTCTTCAGTAAATTGTGTTCCTGCAAATGCTGCATTGAAGCAGAAGGTCAACCTACACTGAAGGTCAAACTACAACCTATACCTACACTCACCTACACTGAGCTGCCTTTCCAAGGCAACTTTCTCTTTTCACAGACTGTGTAGATGGCATAGGGATACTGGCCCTTTCCATTTAAGTCCCCCATTTTGACAGCTAGAGTGCAGTGTTCTTCTTCGTCATACAAAGATGCATCAATTTTAATGACAAATAAAATGTCTTTATTTTTCATGACCCACAGCTATTCAACATATTTATTTCTCCTTTCCTTATGTTATGATTTTGCAGGTAAAAAATGTTAATTAAATCTCTTTACTTTTGATGCTATAGATTATATATGAGCTACTTTGGTTTGAGAATAACTCTCTGGCCAGCTACAAAACAGTAATGAAAATTAAAATTAAGAAAATGAAAATGAAAATTGAGATTTTATTCACCAGAGACTTTCATGATTCATATTTTCAAAGCGTTATATCATAATTCTAAAATGAATTTTTACCCTTTAACTGGATTATCAGAAAAGATAAACTCTATATGCACAAAAATATGGACAGATTGCATTGTCCCAACTTCAAAATTCTGTGCTGTAGTTTGGCATGTGTCTCTTCCTGTTTCTGTTCAAGACTACTAAGGATTTGCCTTACAGATTTTCTCTGTGTATTGATTACAGAGCAAAGGCGCTGAATTTGAAAAATGTGAAAGAAGTGGAATATAAATACAAAGCAGAAGATAATTGTGTAAGTTTTTTTTTTTTAACTTGTGTGTGTGTTTCACTGATTCAGATTTGTTTATTTTCTCTAGTTGGCTATCAGATTGTAACAGGGAGTCAAGGGAACATTTTTATGATATGACCACTTGAAATCTAAAGCCAGTATGATATAGTAAATACAAAACTAGCTGGCCATCAGAAATTGGAATATCTTCACGGTCATGCTGCTGATCTGAAAAGCAAAGTTAGGCAAGTCCTCTTAGATCTATCTATCTTAGTTTATTTGTCATTTTAAGTAAGGAATTGCTCTTTGTAAAAGTTTCCTAATTCCTAAGTTTAAGGAAATCTCTTGCCAGGAATGGCAAGGGCAATCTGAGCAGACAATACCAGTCTCTGTATTCTTATCAGATTTCCTCATTTCCTGAAGGTCCTTTGGTATTCTCATATCCACAATCTCTTTTCTGATCCCATTTCTGCCACCAGCCCCTTGTGACTGGACTGTCCCAAAGGGCGCTGTGTGTGGCTGGGAAAGGAGGGCCAGCACCATGAAGTTGTCACAGACTGCTTCACACATCTCCTCACCCCTATGCTCAAACAAGGGTACCCTCGCATGAAAATGGATAGAAGAATCTCTTCCAAAGACTGTGCTTTTAAAATTTGGCTTTCTACAAACTCAAACTAACCAGTCAGAGTCTTTTGGTTATTTTCATTGCAATTATCATCAAAGCTGCTTGTGGTCAGGCTTATGGTAAGAAGAGAAGCGTAATGACCCAGAGAGGTGAACTCCCTCCTCCAAGATGAAATGGTGGTTCAGCAGCCAAGAGAGAAGTAGAACCATGTGTCCTTTCAGCACAGAGCCCCATCACTGGGACATCTTGCCTTCTCCACCGGGACAGTTTCTACTATGTCCTTTTTCCTTTTCTAATGCTTATGAAGGGTCTTATGTATCAGTAAGCCACATGCTCAGCAGTTATTGCCTCACCATTAAGAAGCGCTTCTTTAAAGAATTTATTGTTTCTGGCAAATGTCTTCCATCAGAGCTATATTAGGCTCAAAATCTGAACATTCAGAGGCTTGGAGGCATTTACTGTTTTGGCATGCTGAGCAACATTGGAATGTGAAAGGTACATAAGAATGGGGAGGACTCTGAACTGTGAATTAAAAACACTGTTGTTGAGGCTGGGCTGGCTGTCAATTATTATATCACTTTTCATTCTTAAGAAAAACATTGGAGTGACTTTGTCAGAGAAGGGTAACCAAAATTTTATTTGCCTGTTTTTTTCCTTATCAGTTCATAAAGTATTTTGTACAAATCCCTATACATCTTTTTTTTTAAGCTGTATTGGTTTTTTTTCCTTAATCATTAAGATTAATGCCAGTAACCTAGTAATAACAAACCAGTGTCTGCAGACATTGGGGAAAATAACATTTTGTTAAGGAAGCAAATTGCTCAAGGGCTTATTACACAAAACAAAGAAGGAAAATATTTTTAAGATTGAGAAAAATACCTTTAATTGAATTTGGAGTTACTGGATTGCAGCAGACATTTAGGGTAATTTTTAATGTATGAATGTTAGACTGATCCAAGTTCCCCTGGTAAATACCAGCTTAGACATAAACAACAGAACTTTTAAACATCAAAATATGCAAGCTTAATGATCTACCCTGCCATTAAGGTCTGTGGATTTATAGGGGTTATTTCACCAATAAGAGAAAAGACACTTTAATGTGGAAAAAAATCAAAGGGTATTTAGAAGCTTATATGAAACACATTGCATCAGAGGCGTTCACTTAAAATGAACCCTTACCCAAGCATAGATGGTGCTGTGCAGAGTGCACCGGGCAATTGCCTGTGTCCTTCTAAGGGATAGTGGGGACAGGCTACCTGAAATAATTTTCCCACTTTCTTAGCAAGCACACAACAAAGAAGAAGTTCATTTTTCTCAGAACAATTCTTTTTAAGAAAGAACCAAACCAGAGCCAGGAATACCTGAGTCAAATTGGGCCCATTTAACCTTGCCCATTCTGGATAAAAAAAGTATACCTAAGTTTGCCATCATTTCGATCTGGCCTTACAATTTGAGCCTTTCAAGTTTTCCACCTTGCACTTTTGGAGGCTTTTCAGCCTCTTGATCATCACAGGCTTTTATCTTTGCACATCAGCCTTCCTTTTTCCTCAGTTTTCATCTTCTACTTTCCAGTGCTGCTAAGGCACTGAAGTGCCCACTTGTCTCCACACCAAGCTGTGTATAGCATCATTTTTAATGGGAATCCGTGGGATGTTAGACTTTTTCTCCATTCAAAAATATATTGCCCTCTGTTTTGCCCTTATTTTAGAGCTTTCTTTTATATAAACTGAGTAATTTTAACTGCCATGCTTTGCCACTTGTCTGACTGAGGTATGTTGGTGATGTGATATTTACCACAATTGCATTCATAGGTAAATTGCGCAAAGTCCCTATACATAGTCTGGTGTTCTTTGCCTCACTTTGGGATGTTTGAAATGTTTCCTTTGTATGATGGTCACTGCCGTGGTGTCCAAGATATCGTCTGGTTCCCAGAAGTCTGAACAGCAGTCTACAATAAGGACATACTTTTGTGGTTTGTGGTGAAGATTTTCATTCCTGTTTTACTTGAAAGTCTGTTGGGAAAACTGCATATCTTCGATGCAATCCCAAAAAATTTTAAACTACTTAAAAAATGGTCTGTGTCAGCTCCACTTCCTTTTGTTTGAGTGTGACCTTCTTCCATAACTTTTGTTACGGAAAAGAGAGGCTTTTTTGAATTATACTCCCTTGCAAATTTTTTGGTTTTACTTCCATTGTCACACAACCTGTGGAAAATTTAGAGTTCAGTAGAATTAACTTAATTCTACCTCCTACAAAACCAGTATTTAGTCACGTGATTGCTGATATCCAATACATTTATATATAAATAATAATTTTCTTACTGGCTTTAAGGCTTTTTATGAGTGCACCTTGAGAGTGAGAGAAATTGCATTTGTTTTGTGCAAAACGTTCCTCACTTGTACCTAGGGTTTCTGACCTTTATGTGATGTCCTTCCAAAATTGTTCTGTTGTGTAACATCTATGTTTTGAGGTACACAGTGTGACCGAAGGTACTGGTAAGCTGGTTGTAACTTCTTCAGTGAAGTGCAGAGACAGGATCAAGGCTGACTGATGAGTCAGTCAGTGATTATTGAGTTGGTTGTAGATAAGTGCTGGTAAAGCTTTAAAAGTGTCACTCAAGGTTGCTCTGGATCCACAAAGTATTTTCGTGGAGAAATATCTCTATACTAAAGTCATCTTCAGATGACTACGATGAATATTGCCAGCTTTCCCCAAATCACCTGCAGTGTTTGCCCCAAAACCTTGTGTACTTTTTTTCAAGACGTGTTTGTCTAAAAAATATATTCCCTGTCTGCAAGTGTTGTCTTGCCTATATTTAGGGCTCATACCAACTGAAACACTGCTATTACTATTTATCGGATAATAGTTCTTAGTATTATGCATCATAGTGAGTATGCTTTTTTTTCATGGTAACTAGAATTGAATGTAATTTTCGTTATACATTACTTACATTTCCATTCTTCAGTTGTGTGTGAAGGCTAATCATTCTCACAATTCAAAGCTCTCTCTTGGTTAATTTACAGGTATTTTCAGGATTTTTAAATAAATGAGTTTGAGTTTTAGTCTCCAAACACAAGATAAACTTTGCAGCATTATGTTTATTTAATTCCACAGGAATCATTGAAACAGGTGAAGATAATTTCAGTCAACAATCCATTAGTCTTTCTGAATGCCAGGAAATTTCATGCTGACCTGATAAAGATAATCCAGAAGGATAGCATGAGCAGCCAGGTATGTGAAGATGTAAATGAGGATGGGCTATTTGCTTCATTAATGACAGTGACTGTGTTGAAGATTGTGCTTGCTTTCCTTGCATTTCTTAGAGAATGCAATCAGATACTGAAACAGACATAAAAAGGTAAAATTGCAAATGATTCATTTAGAATAAAGTTAATTCTAATCTTAATCAGATTCAATATGGATTACTTCTTACTATTACTTGAAAATAATATCTTTACTATTTCTGTGTATGATCCTTTAAGAGACATTAAAGCACTGATCCAAAACTCTAAAATTTATGGAAGAACTTATATAACCTCAGATGATATAAGGCTGGTATTCTAGAAAGACAGAGAGTAACTACAAATGTGCTTGAATGTGATGTGATTTTTTTTTCCTGGACATGAGTCCATGAGAGATGGACACTTCATTTCTAACTATAAGTAAATTCTGGAGAAATGGGAAAAAGTTACAAAGTGGGTAAATTTTACCAAAGGTAGTATTTATTTTTCATTTTTTGCACTGATTGCATTGGAAAAATAAACAGTATACAAATTATGTACAACACTTTTTTTGGCAAAAATCGCTGTAAGTATAGTGTTTTCCAAGTTTATCTGCATATGACTACTGCAACTTCCTGCAACACTTCCTAAAAGGGAAAAATTAAATTATCATTTGTCTATCAGTACAATGAACACATTTCAATACTATGCAATGCTTGCTGTAGAAAATTTCATCCAGTTTGGTAAACTGGGCTGAGCAAATCACAGGCATGGCTTAGATGGGTTGTTAAGACAGCACTATGTGTCTGCCACCTCTGCTGTCCCTTGACAAAGAGTTGTGGTACTGATGTGCACTTTAATGGGTGGAAATTCAGGATTCAGCTCGGAAAATGTGATGCTTTTTATGCTTGGTTCTGCTAGGCTAACTGATTTGGATTAGTATGATAACAAACCCCCAAAGAGAGAGAAATCACTTAGGATGTGCATGGAATTAATATATGAGTTAATTTAATAAGTGTAATAAGTTAATTTAATAAGTTAATTTATACATTACTTAGGAGGGAGATTTTATCCTTTGTCTCTTCTGTAAGGTACTTGGCAGTACAGTTGCCTGAAGTACTGTGCATAAATTTTTTTTGTACTTTTTTTTTTTGTGGAATAAATGTCTTTCTGTAGGACATGATGGGTATGGGAAAAAAATGCAGTTTGGATTTTGTTTCTGTGCTCTATTTCTGGTTTCAGCTCCTATTTCTACTGAGAACTTAACATGCATATTGAAATAATTTTTATAAAAAATCTTCAAATAAAGATAATTTTTAATAAATTTGCATATAAAAATGTTCTTACTAAAATATTAGCATAGCAGATGAGATTGCACCAAGTTAATCTCATAAAATCACCTATCTTTTCAAGAACATTTTTCCCATCTTTTTAAAGAAAAGCAAAACATCATTTTGAGGATGTATCTCAGTATTCTTCTAAGGTTATACCAGAAAATAATATATATTCAATAGGGTGTTGGATAGAACGTGACTTCAGAGAGAATGAGTTAACTTTGATATTGAGAAACAGAATTCATATGCATTGCATTGATTTTCTCTGGTTACTGTGCATTGAACTAGTTTTCCTTGGTATGTTACTAGTTTGTTGCTTTTATTTCAGTGTGAGCAGAACACATTGCTCTGTTCATTTTCCAATGGAAGTTGTCATGGTGAGTTATCTATAAATTATATTAAAACTAAGATAGATGTAAGTGTGCAAAATGTCTCCACATTTTTTTATATATTTCTAGGTGAACTCAAGTTGTATGGAAACTAATCATTTCAGTTAGACCAAGCATTCAAGGAAACATGAATGTTAAACAGTATTAAACTCTAAACTTTGGTCTAACAGGTCCTGTTTCTCATTTTGTTTTTGACTGACTTTTTCAGATTTCAAATGTAGGGTACCCATGAAAGTACCTTTTCTGCAGGAGTGGAAGGTTATAGTGGAAGACTCATTGCCCATGGCAGTGGGGTTGGAACTAGATGATTCTTAAGGTCCCTTCCAACCCAAACCATTCTATGTTTCTGGGAGTGCCTGCCCATTTCACAGGAACAATTGTGTGCATAATGAGCCAGGTACGCAGCAGGGGAAACACTTCCCATGTTGCTGCCTGCACCGATCTTCAGATCAGGCCCAGGAGGCTGTTTCACTCAGCTCTGGTCATGTTTTTTTCCATTCACAGAGTTGAATACTAGTATGGAAAAGTAAAAATAAGATAAGATTAGAACCGTGTTAAATCTGCGTGATCTTTAAATCCACATAGGAGAAAATCGCAGAAAATGTCAACTGAATTATCAGTGACACGATGACTACTAATATTGTACAGTATATCAATACAGTATAGAATAAAGAAAAACCTAGGAGTTTGCTTTCAATTAAGGATTAAGCTGGATAATTCCACTCTTCCCACATTTTATAACACTTAAATCAAACCAGAGCATTCACATTCCCGTGGGAGAGCTGCAGCAACCTTTTGCAGAAGATACTTTATACAGATGACTTCATTGTGGATTGAATTAAAACACTGTGTTTATTTAAAATGTTTATAAACATTAAGGCTGCAGCAGATAATCTGTTTGGGAGGCTGTTGTCTGAATTTCTGCATTTATTAACCAGACTCATGACATTTTTATGATGCTACAGTGTTTAGTTTACTTGGGGCTGACAGAATGCTTTGATGTAGCATAGCAACCTGTAATAATGGCTACCAAAGACTATATTGTATTGTATTTGCTATACTGTAAAATACTATGTGTGAGAAGATCTTGCCACTATGTATTTCAGTTGTCTTGAAGATAAACTGGTTTCTCACATTACAGAAGTGACAGACAGTATAAAATCTCTTTTCTGAAAGCCTAGGTCCTAACTTGAGGACTTAAATGCTCTGTTGTTACTTGTACCAACCAGCCTATGGTGATTCTTTGTGGGGCCTTTAAAATAAAAAGCAGAGAGAAAAAAAGAAAAATGCCTATAAAGAGAAAAACAAAATGTGGAGCTTAAATTTTCAGGAAGGAGGGGAGCAGGAGGACACAATCCTTAATCCTTAGGGCAGTTTTCCTGGAAAGCATGGAAACTTACGTCTTCGTCATAAGGAAAAAAAGAATCTTTCCTTTCTCCTTTTGGGGACTACTGTCTGTATCAGCACCGAATGAAACAGCTGCTGTTGCTCTTGCACTGATCCAAAGAGGGAGCAGGTGTGTACCTATCCCTCCATTTAGAAGCCAGGCAGCCTCTAATGCAATGCAACAGGGAATTATTACACTGAACAGCCTAGCAGATCTCATAAATCCTTTCTAGGTTTCTGTCACAATAATGTCAGACAGGAGGTTCCCTTTAAAATTCTGCATTTTTGTTTGGTATGTATCTATTGTTGTACGTTGGACAGTACAAAGATGTAAATCTCTGGAGATGCAAGTCCAAAAGGCTCTGACTCTCAGACTACTGTCATAAAGGAATTATCACCATTGTAAATTTGCATCATGATGAAATTCTAAGTCCCCTCAATAGTTTAAAATCTTACCTCTGCTCTACCAACGCAATTTAGCTTAACTCATCTTTACATCCAGAATTCCTTTCCTTCATCTTTTATTTTTTTTGAGTTGTGTGCATTATGATAACAAACATTTGTTCACAGAATAATGTAAATGAGATGTGCATTATTTTCTAGTTTTCCTTTTATGAAAGCCAGGAATCATTTATCTATGTGCTAGTTCAGGATGCATTTAGAACAGTGTGTTTAGATTAAACACAAGGTGGCCTGAAGTTGAAGGATAAGACCTTTGCAAATCTTGCCAACAAAATTTTTTTCTCCAACCAAGTACGTGATAGTATATTAAAAAATTAACCAAACAAAAGCCAGCACAGTAAAACCTTAGGAAAATGAAACACTCCACTTTACATATTCTTCTTCCTTATGGGTGAATATTAAGTTAAGCCATAGGCAGGTGTTTAGGTACTATAGAAATCAATGTCATATTAGAACTTAGAGTTATATTTTCTGTGTATCCCATGAAAAATCTTCCAAACAAGCCAAGTTATTAACATGACTCAATCAGAAATTCAAATTTGAAGAAATAATTGTTTAATTCTTGAGGATACTGTGCTGTCTAAAACATGTCATTAATAATATGTTCTGCCTGTCATCACTTCATCCCATTGCTCTAAAATTCCTTCATTTGTGCTTCTAAAATGTGCCATTTGCGTGCTTGATATCCCAGTACATAATAGTAAAATTTTTATTGTGATAGTTTGGGCTTATTTTGTTGAGTTATCATTATTCTTATACCCACTTCTTGACCATTCTCCCTTTTAATTAAAGTTTTTCATTTATCCAATGTGCAGGTGAGTCTGTGCAGTCATGTCACAATGAGAGACATGTTTTGATATTAGACTGCAGTGGACTGAATTTCTTTGACTACACTGGAGTCTCAATGCTTCTTCAGGTATTGATGATACCAGAAAAATTCTGTATATATTATAATTACACATATGAGTTATTGGGGGCAACTACTGGTCACTTCACCTATATCAGTGGATAAACACGTCATTCATGGAAAGGATGAACGTAGATTTGGTATTAAACTGCACTGTGTTTATATATAAAATTGCATTAAAATATTTATAAATATTTTGGGTAACAGTGCAAATGTACATATCTGCATATAAGGAAGATGTTTTTCTGAACTTTTTTTTTTAATTTTAAAGTTGTTTTAGATCATATTTGACCTTGTCATGTCAGTTGCCGTGGAGCCATGTGTAGATTTATCCCTTTAAAATTTCAGCTTTTAATTCTGTGATTTTATGTGTATGTCCTGCTTTCTGCTAAGCCAGAGGTCAAAACACGATCTCCATGTTTTCTCCTGTGGGTGACACATCCAGCAAACTGGGTCCAGGGATTGCCAGAGCTCCAAGGTGCTCCCAGAGGACTAAAACTGGTAATCACTGGTTACTGTGGTGAATGGTACTAAACCCAGATGGCGGCTGGCCACAATTGGGGTTCCCCAGGGCCAGTACTGGGCCCAGTCCTGTTCAATATCTTTATTGATGATTTGGACGAGAGGATCAAATGCACCCTCAAGAAGTTTGCAGAGGACACCAAGTTGGGCGTGTTGATCTGCTGAAGGGTAGGAAGGTTCTGCAGAGGGGTCTGGACAGGCTGGATCAATGGACCAGGGCTGGGGCCTCACGGTGTGAGGTTCAGAAAGGCCAGGTGCTGGGTTCTGCACTTGGTCACAACAACCCCATGCAGCGCTACAGGCTGGGGGCAGAGTGGCTGGAAAGACATGGTTTAGCAGTGGACTTGGCAGTGCCTGCTTAATGGTTGGACTCATTGATCTTAAGGGTCCTTTCCAAACTAAACAATTCTATGCATGAAAAGCAGTTCTATATAGCGGATGAAAAATTATGTTCAAAAGCTGTTTCTTACATTTCCATCAGGTCTGGAGTTTAAAAGTTGTATAGTGAGAAGAGAGTTAAATGGGTATGCAAGGTTTGCATAATTTTTCTGAGTAAGACAGAAGACTAGATTTGAACTTGGGTCTCAGCCCAGGCCTTTTCTTATCCTAACCATTTTTTCAATTTTTTCAATTATTTCACTTACTCATTGTACAGTGAAGTAAGTGTTGCCTTAAAAGATCTGAAATTAAAACTACACATATAGATAGGGATATAGTAAAAAAGAGAACTGGAAAAATAAGGTTAGTGGGAGTTATTCTTTATTACACATCCCTTCAAAACACAGGGCATTCAATAAAGTATTAATTAAGAAAAAATTGTTAAACTTATTTCCAAAAGATCTTAGAGACCTCTGAACTACAAATTATGTCAAAGAAGTGTTTGACAAATTTGTGAGAGGTAAGTCTGGCATGGGCTGTGAAGTGCACAAATTGGGAGTGAAGCCTCTGGATGAATGACTGGTCCTAAACTGAATTACTCAGAGAAGAACACACTCAACGTGTCCTTGTTGTTACACTCCTCCCAAAATGTCATCACTGATGCCAGAGATAAAGGGATTTTTGGACTGAGTATGGCTTTTAGCTTATTTTTTAAAATAGGGTATTCTGATGGGCTTCTCACTGAATCTCTTCTTCCAGAGTTTTTCCACTTTACATGGATTATTTAAACATTTTTTTATGCAGGAACTGCTTTTAACATTCCTCATTTGGCAAAAAAAGGCTTTACTCTGGTTTTAGAGTAATTTTCTTTTTTTTTTTTTCTCTTTTACTTTCTCTCTTATTCAACATTTGGTCTCTGTGGAGTTGACCATTTTCAAAGAAAGCATAAAGAACAACTTAATGCAGAATGTAGCATGATGGTTATGGTGCTTTTCTGATAAACTCATGAAGTGTCAGAGTTTCCTAGGTCTGATTTCTGTCTGTGTGGACTGGTAGGTAAGCATATGGCAAGGAGATGGAAAAACATGCTGAAACAGGAGATCTGGAAATAAACGCCTCAAAAATTATAGTAAAAAATGAAAAATTTTTAATCAAATTCAGTTTTAATTCTTGGCAGAGCCGTAGCGTACTGTGAAGAGGGGTAGGAAATCAGTGTGGGTTGGTGGTGTTTGCATTATAGAAGGGCTCACTCTTGTGGCTGCTGGCAGTACAGCTGCTACAGCAGCATTCCAGGCGCTTTGCCTACCTTGGATATGGGGTTTTTGCGTATGTTATTCTCTGTTTAACCAGGTTCTTTTTTTTTTTCATTTCATGTTTTCACACATTTAGATTTACATGGACTGTAAGAACAGACACATCGATGTGTTGCTAGCACACTGCAAAGGCAAGTATCATCTTACAGCAAAAATTTTAATGTGATGGTTTATATATCCTCACTATTTTATCAGTGCTCATGACTTTGTTTTGTTGCAGCTTCCTTGATAAAAGCAATGCAGTACGGTGGATATCTTGAATCTGAAAATCCTGTCTTTTTTGACTCTATTTCTTCAGCAATTGATGCCATTCAAATTCACAGGGTAAGACTTATAAGCAGGGGTAGGTAAAGTGTCGCGGGCTTCTTGGATGCTCACAGCAATTTGTTAAAGTCTGGGAAAGTCTTATTTACCCACTGAATGTTTTGGGCAGAAATCTTTTATCTGTCTATTCTCTACAACTGGTCTTCCACCTCACAATGCAGTTACTCATTTTTTTGCTGCTAGCACTCTCTTCCCACCACCATCTCTCCTTTTGCAAAGTGTTCTCGATCTTCTATGCTAGATCCAGAGGCACAGTGTTAAGGTGGATTAATCTGGGCACATTCTCCACTTATGTCTCTAGAAACACCTAACACAGCCTCTCGGTGAGGCACATTAACTCACACCTAGTTCTGCATTACTGAAACTACTATCCCTCCTGGGTTGCTTGAAGCTACTTCACACACCACCACTCTGGTCTGACTGAAACACTTCTGGATCCCCAGCAAGTTTGGTTTGAGCAAGTAAGCTTGTCTCTGCCTTGCACTGTAGCGTGCCATGTAGGCTCTCTGGTGGAAAGAGGGGAGAGGAATTGCACGAGGTGGAAGAGAGAGCTAGAGGGAGAAGGAAGGCTTGGCTCAGAAATTGAGGCTTGAGGCTTGAACATGCATTGACTTGAGCATGTATTTACTTGCTCAATGATTCTTGCATTCCTTATTAAAAATATTGTAAACCTGGGCTTTCCTCATAAACTATGTTATCCTTTTCCATTGTAATGCCAGTGTAACCGAGTGTGCATTGCAAGTAGTGTGCTTTCCCATGGTTTTATTTATGATTCCAAACACGGCTGGAGCTTGGCTCAAGCCTTCTTCAAGAGACATTAAACCCATCATGGTCTGTGGTTTGGTTGTTTGGGTTTTCCTTAATTTTTTATTTTACTAATTAAATTTGAGTTGCCTATGAAAAAAAACACTTTCCATTGATTTATCCAGATTAAATTGAGTTGGCACAGTTGGTCTAGGGGATTGACCAGAAAAACATGGTCTTTTCAGCTCTTTCCAACATTTTTCATAATGTTGCCCTGCAAAAAATAATTTACTGAAATGGTAACTGCAGGGCAAAAATAAAAGAGATGGCTATTGTATATTTTGTCTGGGTCTGATTAGATGATTTAGAATGAATGTTGTGTTATAAAATGCCTGCATTTTTATTGACATTAATTAACTTTCCTAAGATTCTTGTAAGATAGCTATGTACTAGCATTCTCATTTTATGGCAAAGGGACGTAGATAGACCAAACATTTAAAGTGAAAAGGGGGAGTTGGAGCTCAGAAGTCCACTTTTCTAGGAACTGACCACATGTTTCTACCAGAGCTGCTAGGCAACTCAAACTTCGGCATAGTGGCTTAGCAATTTAGCCTGAAAGGCTTGCATCCAGCCTCAAATTTTAAATGTAATTATGAACAGTCTATATATGCTGCTAATGTTTCTTCAAAGTATTCAAAGTATGGGCTTCATAGGATTTTATGTATTTATTGTTTAACACCTGGAGGAGAATGAAAAGGCAGGGTGACCACAACAGCAGCACCACACTGTAACTACTAGTCTGTCTATGTACTCCTCCTGTGACTTTTTAAGATGTTGAGGTAGTAGGACTTTTGACTGTTTACATCAAGGAGTAGGCAGGATAGAAAAAAATAGGAGGAAGGAGTTGGAGACTAATAGAAAGTGATTCGTTCCGACTTACATTTCAGCTTCCCGCCACAGAAAGGAATAGTCTTTCACTGTCAGAAAGGTAGAGGCAAGAGGGCTTCATGGTTCATTTCCAACTCTGACTCTGTTCAGAAATGCAAAGATGCTCTTATCTACATCCTCCAATGATAAGGCTGTGTCATTCTAATTTTTATGTTTATAACTTGCCTGTTGCTTTATGCAGCTCATTCTAATAATAAATAAATTTTTGAAATATTAATCTGTATAATGGTGGCATTTTCAAGCTAGCACTCCATCTGCTAATTTTACATTATATTCTCGGAAAACTTTATAATACTTTTTTTTCTGTGTCTCTCAATTTAGAATTACAGCAAATACAGTGAACAGAGTGAAGTGTGATGCCCACCCATTGAGTATGGCTAGTTTCATCTGCTCATATTCAGAATGAACTACACTATGGTTTCTCCTTAGGTTTTTTCACCAGTGGATCTCATAGATGATCTTTTGTATGCCATATATATGTAATACATTCAGTAATGACAGATCTGCCATTCAGAAAGAAAGTCTTTCAGCTGCTATCACTCAGAGAATGTTCATGCAATTGTTCTATAGTGGTTTTATATAATATTTTTATATTTAGATAAAAATTACACTTAGATAAAAATTATTAAAAAGTAGACATGAGGTACTGACTGTGTTTACCAGTGAGATATATTCTTTTAGATATCTTTTATCGTACCATTAGTTGTAATATGCCTCTGTAGTTTTGTGTATGAAATAGAGACATTTTGAATTCTTAAAAGAGTATGTTATCATTGATAGAGTATATGCAGGGAGCCATATACCAATGCATACTGTTTCTAATGTCTTTACTTACCCTTCCTTCTGTTCAAGACAGCCATTTGCAGTAACAGCATCATATCAGAGCTATCATATGCTTCCATTTTTCATTCTTGTCTTTGTATGCTTTTTAATGCCTACCGAGGTCCATGGGAAAACTGTATACAGAGAAGGCAGCTGCATGTTGACTAAGTGCCCCTTAGATTGTCCCCCCCCAGTAGTTGTCATTAGTTGCTACATTTTCAAAGCCATAGGTGTTCTTTAGCTCAGACTGAAAAGAAAAAACTTGTTTCCAGCATAGAATAGTCTTTATTTCCAGTTTGAGCTGTGATTTTTTTGGTATTGAACTCTTTAGCTATGGCAGCTGAGAGATGACAGTGGAGACACATAAAGTGCGTGCCACATTTCAGCCCTAATCCTGATTAGGGATGTGCAGTACTGTGTGTGAGCACACAAAGTGGATAGAGGAATTCACAGGTTGAGTATTTGGTTTGTATTTGTAGATTGTCAGCAATCATACTAGATTATACTATCACATCAGTATCATGTTATATGGCAATACACTGAGGCCTTCCAGTACCTGAAGGGAGCCTACAAGAGACATGCAGAGAGAGTATTTACAAAAGCATGTAGTGACAGAAGGGGGAATGGCTTCAAATCAAAAGAGAATAAGTTTAGCTGAGATATTAGAAAAAAATTCTTTACTGTGCAGGTGGAGAGGCACTGGAACAGGTTGCCCAGAGAAGTTGTGGATGCCCCAGGCCTAGAAGTGTTCAAGGCAAGGTTGGATGGAGCTGTTAGCAATTTGTTCTAGTGAAAGGTGTCCCTGCCCATGGCAGGGTATTGTAACTAGATGATCTTTAAGGTCCCTTCCAACCCAGGCCATTCTATGATACTATGTACGACTTTTTTGCTCTTGCCTTTGTTGCCATATTGTGAACACCAGCAACAAAATGTGAGTTGAGCAAAAAGGAATAAAAAAATGAGAAAGGATGAGGTAGTAGGACTTTTTTTCTCACTGACTTAAAAAATCTATTGAAGCTAACTGCCCTAATGGCCATCTTAGCACTACAGAGAGGAGGGAAGTACAAGAGTGCTTTGTGCAGCTGGAGTCTAGAGGCAAAATCTAGTGCTGTGTTCTGTTTTCAGCAGCAGTTACATACATATGCTTGTCTGGGCCATCCTTGCTCTATCTGCCCAAAGCTGCTGCCTGAAGGAGATGAGGTGGCTCATGGAGTGAGTTTCACGTCCCTGCTGTTGTGTTAAGACATTGATAAGCTTTTCTTCTAGTCTTTATAATTCCACACTGCTAGATGACAATGGAAAAGAGCCATGGGGTTTTTTGCCTTTTCGGTTATGAGTAACTCTTGGAATTATTCCCCACTTTATCTCACAGATGACCAGAAATGTTCTGTACATATTCTTCTGAAACTGCTTTCATAATTACTATGCAAAAGGTTGATAAATAACTGTGAGAAGCTCATTATACACAGGAGGAATAAATTCCGTATATTGTCCCAAGTGCATTAATTTCAGATGCTGCAGTTGATTGCAAATGACTCATTACATCATTGGACTCAGTAACAGGCTATAACATTTGATTAATAATTTCCTCAAACAGTTTTAGTAATTTATTAACACTTTAGAAACTATTTACAGTGTACTTTAATTGTAGAAGCATCAATTTTATGTCACAGCTGAATGGAGATTTCTACTTAACTGCAAACTGAATAAATGAATAAATGGTATCTTTTCTACTAAGTTCAGCATTTATTCTTTGGTGGGTAAATGTTTTTTTTTCTGAAGATGTACAGATAAGTTGATTAATGAAATTGTTAAAAATAGGGTCTTTAGCAAAGATAACATCTACCAGGAGACTTTCAGTTTTGTTCTGAATGATCTTTTAAATGGAACAACACAGATACTTTTAAAATTCCTTGTAGTGTTAGCCCTTGATGAAACCCTCTGCATCAAATGATCAATTTTGTAGTGCTTATCAAAATTACTTCCAATTTCTACTGCTTTCAATAGGAATAAATTTTCCACAGTTAAATGGCTGTTTTGGGATGGACATTTATCTCCCATTAGCTCAAAGATCTTCTGGTGACACAGTGTCATTTTAAAAAGTGTTTCACCAGTGTAAGATTTCAAATTCAAAATGTCTTAATGCTGTGATTATGGCTTGATTGTCTCTCAGGGCAGAATCAGGGATGAAATATATTTCTTCCCTTAAAACATTTAATCAGAACTCTGAGTTTCCTAACCTTCCAACTCTGGGCTTTTGGATACTAGTAATATTTCTGTAATATATTTGACCATATATAATTAGCCTAAATAAACTACCATTTCTGAGAATATGCATTGTTAATCAGATTCCCTTTCTGGCAAGTGGCATTCCTTAGGATAGTTGTTTCTCGGCAGAACGGAGACCCATGAAGATAGCTGCCATTTCAGTTGCTTCTAAAACATCTGTGTTGAGTTTAGGCCTTGTAAAACTGCTCACAGAACCATGGGCAGCCAGTGGGGGAGGATAATTTCTCTTTTACTATTGACCTTGAAGGGCAAATTACTTCACTAGTGATACAGTTTCCATTTCTCCACAACCCACCCCTCTGAGCTCTTGATGTTTACTGAAACGTGCTTGCACGTGGCCTGTCTTCAAACCACCAGGATGAGATGCCATCAGACCTCGTGCACCTCATGGACTGCCAGATCACCGGTTGCTCTGCTGGTGGGATGGGAGTTGCTTCATGTCCTCCCTGAGTTGCTCTCTGCAAATCTCCAGTAATGGTGTATTTGTGTCACTGAGTCAACTGACAAACAACTGCTTAATTCTTTGGTGAAGATTTAAGGAAACACCCTAAACCTTCTAGGTTAAGTTTTGGAGGCAATTTCAACTATCAGTTTCAACCCTTCCCTTAATGGTTCTTTGTACAGACTGCCCACTAGCTTCCCTCTGGCTCTCGGGAAAAATTATTATGTAAACATATAGAAACCAAACCCCAAACATCACAATTAGCTTCACTAGAGCAGAATGGAATGAAATGAAATAGAATAGAGCAACATTTGAAAGAAACCAACAGTGATCATCTAGTCCAACTGCTGTTATTATAAAATGATAGAATGTTATAAACAGAATATACCATATTTATTCTTCTGATCCAGAAGGGTGAAACGAGCCAAACTCACCCTGTAGGATAGAGCCTGCTATCCATGCAGAGGGGAATTAAAGTCAATAAAATAAGGAGTTTAGTTATTGTACCCTCCTGAGGCAGACATTGATCTTTGTACCTTCAGCTTTATTTGCTTGAACATCCTTAGGGAGTTTTCAGAATAATGCGAAGTTTTATTAACTGTGCTTACGTATGTGAGCTTATGCAGTGTTAGCAATAAGAGCAAAGTGTGGAGGTCTCACTGCTCTTACTGATTTCTAAAGGTGCAAGAGATACGCTGCATATGCCAGCAGAGGCTCAATGAAGTCTCTCATTTACAAACAAGTTTTAACTAATGAAACCAGTGAATTTACTACTCTGAGTAGTAAGCAAGTCTGAAAACCTAACCATTCACTTTGATTCCTGTATGTATACTTATATGCTCAGGTTTTACATTTCTAAATTCAAAATGTATCAATCACCTAGCTTATGGAAATCAATGCTTCAACATTCTGCATTTCATAGGAGAAGATTGCTTTCCAGAGATGGCTTGATGTGTTTAGGAATTTTTAACTATTTTTAGGAATTAATCTAAATTTTAAATAGTACCTCATGTTAATGGGAAGTTTTCCACAATATTTAAGTTTTGCTAATCAGAATATATTAAAATGTGCATCTAATCAGATGCTTCTTACAGAATTTGTGTTTCACACATTCCAAAACAAAGTGAGCAATGAGGAAAAAAATAGAGTGCAAACTGATGTTATGAAATGAATATAGTGGCAATTAAAAATTTAAAAAAATTAGACATAAAATATGTAACAAGGAAAAGACTGTTAACATTATATTTATGCAAATTAAATGTTTCTAATTCTCATCATATGTCTTTCATTTTAAAGGTTATTTTCCCCTGATTCTATGATTCAAGTGTCACAAGGTCTGGCTGTAGCTGCTTTGACATAATTTATTTGACAGTTCTGTGTGTCATAAATATATAATGTAACAAGGAAAGGTATCTTCACTGTTGAATGAAAACATTAATGTGTCAATACTGGGTTTGAATACTGTTTGACATTTACTAGTTACAAAAATAAAATATACAGTATGCCTTGAAAATATGGTAGTCCTATTTTTGGAAGATACTTTCTTTGTCTACAGAAACTAGTGTGTCATAAATAAATGAAGGAGTGCAGTTCCAGAGTGTGTGCTAGATGGTGCCTTCATCATTAAGATAGATTTTTATTAAAGATCACCTAATCTGTATGTTTCCATATGTTTTGCAATGCAATTAATAATTTTTTCTTGTTCAATTCTGTGTATTAGCATATGCAACAATAAATTTATACTGAAATAAACTGGAATATGAGACAATTTCCATGTAGAAGGAGGAAAATGCCCTCATTATTTCCATTCTTAGTAGCTTTTTTTTAAAAAAAAACCTGTACTAACCAATCTGTAATGTATGTTGCCTTCTCCAACCTTGCAAAGTATTAAATCTTCATAATGAAAGAAGAGAAACTGCCTTACATTCAGAAGTTTGACTTCCTTACAGCTCTTACAGGAGTATGGCATCTAACAGACATTTTTACCTCTTTAAGAAATACAGAAGTCTTGGGACATTTTTTCCAATATTGTCTCCTTGCATGCGCTGTTGTTTGAATATGTCTTTTTTAATTGTCATTTGCATATACAGATGGTGCACCTTATATCCAATTTGCGCATACTGATGGTATTGCTTATATACAGTCTGTGGCTTATCCCAGTAGAGAGGAAATGATAGGTAAACCCTCCCACCACCTCCCAATAACTGTGATGACATTAATGGAAAATGGATTGACATAATTTTAAAAATTTGGCCTTGAAAGTAGCAGCTTGATTTTTCAAGCCTGGTAGTTTATGAAAGCATTTGCTTCCACCAAAATGAATGCAACCTCTACATTTTTTTGATTTTACAGTAGTTTGCAAAAATATAAACAATTTTCAGTGCCATAATCTACTAGATACTACACAGCTAAATATTCTTAATGATATTCTTAATGATAAAGGCTATTTTCTAGAGCTATCCTTCTCAATTACACTCAAACAATAGCAAGGAAACTGCTTTGGAGTGAGATAACTGAGCGAATTTTATTTTCACTCCCAGAATGGACATGTAGAAGATCAGTTGAAAGGCAACTTGAGGAGCAACTTATTCCCTAATGGGAATCCCCTGGCTCCGCAGAAGTTCTGGAGAGCATGACATGCAAAAGCAGAGACATGGCTGTTTGGTTATTTTATTTCTAAGGTGTTTTCCAATAAAGAGGTCTTTTGTGCTGGATACATTCAGGTGGTTAGAAATGAAGAAGAACCGAGGGAGTGGCTCATGTTGTTGCTCTGACTGACTTGACAGTGGTAAATATTTCTCATCCCCATTGTGCTTGGATTGTGATGCTGTTGCAGTTTAAAAATGCAGTGAAATCTTAGAAATTCTTGAAAGCTCCACAATGCTGAATTAAACTGTACCCTGTACATTCACTTAAATCCCG